ATCCAGAACTCCGAAAGCTTTCAGTTCGAGCTATATAATCGCTTCCAATGCCTAGAAAATTGCAGCACTGTGGACGATATTAACGCTAAGCTCGTGGAAACTGTCCATGCCGTGGGCCTTAAATTTAATAAGGCCCGCCGCACAAATAGAACGCAAAAACTCTCCGATCACACTCTTAGCCTCTTGGGAAAAAGACGTGAGATGCGGCTTCAGTCTTCAACTGACATGTCAGACTACAGGCGGCTTAATAGGCAGATCTCCAAATACATGCGGCGAGACTTACGCAACTTCAATACAGCTCGTATTGAGGGTGCTATAGAGCGAAACCTAGGCTCAAAAGTCTTCGCCAGAGATCTGTCTATCGGACAAAGCCAACTGACTAAGTTGAAGACTGACAGCTGGGCTATCATCTCCAGCAGACCAGAGGTTTTGAGTGAGATTGAGAGGTTCTATGGACAGCTGTACACATCGTCGTTGGAGCCACACACATGTGTGAGTAACGACCCAAGAGCAAAGCTTATCCGACACTATTCCGAAAATATCCCGGACGTTAGTCTGAGCGAGATTCGAATGGCTCTTAACCATCTTAAGAATGGCAAAGCATCGGGAGAGGACGGAATTACAGCAGAGCTTCTGAAAGCGGGTGGAGAACCGGTACTTGTAGTCCTTCAGAGGCTCTTTAATTCCGTCGTTCAGGGTGGTACTACACCAGAGGCGTGGAGCAGAAGTGTGGTGGTGCTGTTCTTCAAGAAAGGCGATAAAGCTCTCTTGAAGAACTATAGACCGATATCCCTTCTGAGCCGCGTCTATGTGCTATTCTCAAGAGTCATCTTGAATCGTCTCGCTTCCAGACTCGACGACTTCCAGCCTCCCGAACAAGCCGGATTCCGAAAAGGCTTCAGTACCATAGACCATACACACCTTGCGGCAGATTATACAGAAGACCGAAGAGTATAATCTGCCTTTATGCCTGGCGTATGTGGACTATGAGAAAGCCTTCGATTCTGTTGAAATGTGGGCGGTACTCCAGGCTCTTCAGCGGTGCCAAATTGACTGTCCGTATATCGAAGTGCTGAGGTGTTTGTATAGCAAGGCTACGATGTCCGTCCAAGTACAGTCCAGTAGTACAAAACCTATCCAACTGCAGAAGGGTGTAAGACAGGGTGATGTCATATCCCCGAAACTCTTCACCGCTGCGTTGGAAGATGTTTTCAAGCTTCTGGACTGGAAAGGACGAGGTATTAACATCAATGGCGAATAGATCACCCACCTTCCGATATAGTCTGCCGACGATATAGTCATCATGGCAGAATCGCTGGAGGACCTGGGTGCTATGCTCAATGACCTCAACAGTGTCTCCCAACGGGTGGGTCTTAAGATGAACATGGACAAGACGAAGATCATGTCTAATGTCCATGTCACGCCTATACCGGTTGTTGTTGGGAGCACTGAGCTAGAAGTTGTTGACGAGTACGTTTACCTAGGACAGTAAGTCCGGCTAGGTAAGTCCAACTTCGACGCAGAGGTCAATCGGCAAATCCATCTCGGATGGGCAGCGTTCGGGAAACTTCGGCAAATCTTCTCGTCAAATATACCTCAATGTTTGAAGACTAAAGTCTTCAATCAATGTGTGTTGCCAGTGATGACCTACGGAACCGAGACATGGTCCTTCACTGCTGGCCGTATGAGGAAGCTCAAAGTCGCTCAGCGAGCTATGGAGCGGGCTATGCTCGGTATTTCTCTGCGTGATAGAGTTCGTAACGAAAACATCCGCAGTAGAACCAAGATAACCGACATTGCTCAGAGGATTAGCAAGCTGAAGTGGCGATGGGCCGGCCATATAGCTCGTAGAACCGATAACCGTTGGGGAAGAAAGGTTCTCGAGTGGCAGCCTCGTACTGGCCATCGCAGTGTGGGACGACCCCCCACTAGATGGAGTGACGACCTGTGCAAATGTGCTGGAAGTCGATGGATGCAGGTGGCTCAGGATCGTACTTCATGGCAGTCTGTGGGGGAGGCCTATGTTCAGCAGTGGACTCAAACAGGTTGACATGATGATGATGATCTTCCTGGCTAATGTACAACTTGTTTTTCAGATAGGTATGAAAAACCTTGTAAAAAGATATGAGATCTGAAACTTTTTACTACTGTACGTTTTAGTAGTTTTACGTGTAGTCTTAATTAGGCTTTCATAATAATTTTGTGTACTGTGAATGATTAAGATGCTATTCTTTAAAACGAACATTCCAACAAGAAAAAGAAGAAGATAAGAGTTACACTAAGTTTTAGTAATGCTCTTAGTTCTGTTTTAACTAATAGTTAGTAGTATTATGAAAAAAATCAAAAACAAGTATTTGATTTCCTTTTTGTTATATTTTAATTAACGTAGTGTTTATTAAAATTCACGCACAAAAATAATAGAATTTTCTTATAATGGCAATGAAAAATTTAGTTTTTGAAGCATCAACAAGATTATATAATATTATATTAAACGCTTAATTTTTATAATAGGAAGTTTTATTTGAGAGTTTGTGAACGTAAGACAGGCACAAAATTTTATTTCAAACAGAACGGCAAGAATTATTTCAATCACAAAATTAAAACAAACGCATATCTTGCGACCGTAATGTTGGCGGCATTTTGAAGACACAAACCGGTCGATTATTTATTTGTAACTCGGCGCGTAGTCCGCTTGTGAATTTTCGAATTAAACCGATCAATGGAGGGTGGGTTTCCCGCCATGCGATCCGTCGCAAATACCAAGGTGGTGTCGCTGAGCAAGCCAGTGCGAAATCTAACCAATCTGTTTCAGTGTCGATATCGTTTCTAGAATTAGTTAAGGATGAAAGTTTATTAAGAATGAGAAACCGATTACACGGTCATATTTTATAACAAAAGAAAGTAGATCTATACCTAGGCATCATTATTGTTTTTGTATGTGAGAAGGTGGTAAGCGAGTAAGGTATTTTACTGTGATAGGGCCAACAGCTTCTCCTATTGCGCGAATGGGCGGGCTTGTCCTGGAAAGTATCATGGCCTCTTTTTTTTATGGGAAAAGGAGGCAAACGAGCATGCGAGTCACGTGGTTCACCGGCCTTACAGAAGACTGGCGTGAAGTGGAAGTGCAATACTTTTTCGTTTCGTCTAGTGAAGGAGGTAATCGGAGCCCACTTTTTTAGTCGTATTAGTAATGGTTGAAAATGCATTTGCAACCCACCAGATGTTATAGCAGTTCCTGGGCAGGGGTAAATATTCGTTCCTTACATATCGAACTGGCCCCTTTCTTTTATTTTTTCCATAAGAAACGCCTATTTTATATGCTCGGACCTATTGCTCACCACCACTTGAACCGCCTGCTCGCATTTCAACTTTTCACCCATAAAAGGCGGTGCACTGATGCTAAGTAATTTCAATCAACGGATGGATATCTTAAAACACCTGAGGCGTTGCAGACGCCTGACCAGCCATTAAAGAGTGGGCCGGTTACCTCACTCACTTTAACGCCGTATATGGACTTCACCGGACAAACGTGTCTTTCATGGACCGGACTACGGATACTATCCCTTGGTACAGGTAGTAAAAATTTCACTTAATTTCGGTAAATATTTAATAGTTTGATTGTAAAAAAACTACCTTAATTTCAATTACCTAGCTAATATTTAATGCAATAATTATTAGATCAATGTAGTACAATTTAAATAACAAATTAATTAAAACATAAAGTAGAACAAAACTAAACGCAACAAAGGCAATAAGTGAAGCAAGTGCCAAAGTAATTCAAGCTCTACATAATCATTTTTTGGTCATTGAGGATTGGATAGGTACAAAAGTTTTAAAAAACAGTGTTGGCTACTTATGAAAATTAAATTGTTCAGATTTCACATTAGTTTCGACAAAAAACTTGCCTGATATACTCTTTATCTTTTTCTTTATCTTTATTCCGCTTTATTCTTCGTGTGGGTGAAGTAGGCCTGAATCTGTAATACTTAGGCATTATACAAATAAAATTTGGTAAGAATATCAAAAATATCTCATTTACGCTATTTTGACATCATAAAAAAGTATAGCTTTATCCAAACATGTCAACTTTGTTTTTAAAAAAAGTCAAATAATGGTTGTTCCAGTCAAATTTTTACTTACATAAATATTTACAATTCCATAAACTATTAGTCTAATCTATGATTATTTAAATGCGGGACCGTTTGAACTACCCACGGATAACTTAGCCATTTCTTCTGATATTTTCGCTCTTACATGGGCATCTTCTAGTACAATACTAGACTTTTATTCAGTAGTATTACTAACCGGCCTGGCCGCACGGGAATCGTCTTCAATCTCTCTTTACCACGTTTGAATCTAGTAGACCATTTCTGAATAGTAAATAATGAAGGAGGAGCATCTTGGTAAACAGCCACTGTCTTCGTGAAATGTCTGATCTAAAGAATCGAGTTATTGGATTCACCATAGATAAGACATATATACTGAAACTGGGATTCACGCTTTACCATGAATAACATGGGCACATTACCATCGTAGTGGGAATTCATCTGCAAACATCAATTTTTCAACCGAACTAATGCTCATGTGGCGTTATGTGGATAAATATTGTCTCCACCAATGAAACTACAGATATGTTGTCAACGCGCCCGGAGGAAAACCACGAAGACGTCCTAACATCCTAGTGTTTAATATTTTAAGTTAATTAGTATTTAATATTGATTAAGGACATATTTCTCATTACTGTGAAATAAATAAAACAAGATAAAAATATAATTCCATTGTTGTGTAATGGCTATAAACAGTATAGTATAACGAAACGTTTTATATTTGTCAATTGATTGTCATTTGTCATTGTCATTATGTCTGTAGCTGTCATTGTATTGTGTTTGTAATTTTGTAAAATAATTATAATTGTAAATTTCTAATACGATTTCGTAGGAGGAGAAGATAAACCTTAAAGAATTGATTTAAAATGCTGACTTGTGATTAAATTTACTGTAATGGCGTTCTTAGAAGTAAATATTCGTTATTTATCATAATTTTGGGTAGTTGTTCAAAATCATTCATTAGTTCTTTGTGTATGTAAGAAATTAAAAATTAGTTGTAGATATGTTGTTTTAGTAATTAAATGATATTGATTTTGATGATATTGTAATGTGAGTAAAACTAACTACTATAGGTATATATTAATTGTTTCGTTACAGTGGCGTCGCTTTACATTCTTCGATGTTCACAATAATGTTGATAATGGCAAAATTGCGGAATGTCTACAGGTATTATTTCTTTACGATATAAATAACTAATTCTTGATAGATTATAATCATTAAAATTACAAATGTATACAGTATGATTTTTTTTTTACACTAATGGAATCATAATTTTGTGTTTATAAAAATTGTTACTTCAACAGGATACAACTGTGTCAGCCACCACCAGTGGGCACAATCACATAGTCCTATGTGATGTAACAGGCTTGGCTCATATCATATCTCGATCCTGGGAGATCCTGTCTATTAAAGCATATGAGTTGACTATAACACTTGCTCAACAATTGCCACATGATCCTTACCTAGTTACAATAGGGGTAAGTTTGATCTTAATTGTGAATTTATTATTCATTATTCATTATCTTAAATCTGTTGATATGATTAAGAACAGTAATAAAGACTTTATTTCAATAAAACACTAGTTTTAAGTTTTACATAACCCTAATTTTAAAATAGTAATTTACAAACAATAGTTAATTTTTCTGTATTGATGTTTATCATTGATTAGCTTTATTTTATTCCTCACATGTTTTTCATATCTATTGTTTTGAGTTTAATTGTTAATAATGTTAGTTTTGTTTTTAAAAAAGGTTAGTATTGTTAGCTGTAAGCCATGGTACAAGGTAAAAGCTGTCTCAAAACTGTTGCAGGTTCTTTTTATGTGAGAAGGTGGCAAGCAAGCTGGCTTTTCATCCGATGCTAAGTGATAACCTATGGACATTAGGAAAATCTGTAGGGTTCCATCTTTCAATTTGACGTTCATGTAACATTCACATTAACATTCTATTCTTCATTTTTATTTCACATTTCATATTTTATTTAAGATTGATTTTTTTATTGAGGGACCATTTCTGCTTGCATATATAATAACTGGCCTCAGGCAATTAATTGTTTTAATATTAACTTTTTTTACATTTCTCTATGAATTCTGTTACTGCCTGACACTTAGCCACAATATTCCTCTTTTGTAACCTTTAAGTGTACTTAAAAAATCTGAATTCATGGTATGTGCTGGAATGAATGGCATTGTTTTCTGCAAATTAAAATGTTATGAAGGAAGCATTGTAATGAAATCTGCATTTTATTAAAAAAATCAAAGATAGTGAAGTCTACCAATACCTAGTGGAGTTGTGAGATGGACTATTCTAAATAACTTCTGAACAATATTCTCTTCCAAGCAGTGGGACTTGTAATTCATACTTTACTATACAGCTAGGAAAGTAAATGATGTAATTTCTAAAATGGAAGAAGTGTTTAAAGTAAATTTAATAATCATAGACTTAATATGATGTTTGTTGATCAATAAAAGATAATCCTAAGATTTGGTTAAAGAGCCTATCTATGACAAGCAACAATGTCTCATACTTAGTACTTTATTTCTATTTTTATGAACACAGGATGATGAACCAGGTTTGAATCCATTAATCAAAGTGTGGGATTGGTCACGAAATGATAGACATCCAAACTGCTGCCGAGTGTCCCGTGCAGTTCCCTCTCATATGCGCCCCACACCTGCAACTGCTCTAGCAGTGCATAATAAGGTAACATAATTTTGTTTTTTTACACATTAAAGAAAATGGCTGCCATGGCTGGTGACAAGGGGATTGGTTCCTTTCTCGCTCAAAGATTAAGCATAACTATTCAGCAAACAAATACAGATAGCGTTCTTAGCACGATTCCGCATTGACTAGGGTTATTAGATAATATGTAATTTATTTCGATTTAATGTTGTAAATATTGGATATAATAAGAAAAGATCATTTATCGTAAGTTTTTGAAGGTTTATAACCGTACATTATATTTATTATAGAATCTTCTGGCGGTCGGTTTTCAAGATGGCTCAGTGTCGTTATTCCGTGGCGATATCACCAGACAGCGTAGTGGCAAAATGCGAACATTGCCAGACTCGGGGACAAGCCCTATTACAGGATTAGCTTTCAAGTATGTATACTTTGATCGCTTTTGTAATGTTCATTTATAGTTTATTGCACTGAGAGCTGCTGTTTAGGTCATCATTTCATCCACATAGAACATTTTTTTAAAACACTATTTACTGAAAATCATTTGAAGTAAAGTGATAACTATTCGATAAATATCAGCATCCCTGGAATCCTTTCGAATAGTCTACATATAGAAATCAGAAAACATCATTCACAAATAGGCGTCTTTTGATGAAATAATTTATATGTCAAACATACAATAAATTTTTGAAAAGTCAAAGACACTGTTATATTTGGGTTTAAAGAGTCCAAACTTTTGTATTTCTGTGTCCTTGAAACTTTTGTATTTCTGTGTCCTTGTTTGGACCATTGATTAAGTTGAGTGCAAAAACGCAATGTTATATCTGCCTACTTCCATCTTTTAGCTTTATTACTACATTGTTTAGAGTTAGAAAAGTGACAAGGCTTCCAACGAATTGGCGCGTTTACCACCAACGCATTTCCATTTGCAGTCTAGTAGTAGTCATTAAACATTATTTTATGTGTAAAGTTGCCATGCACGTTATGCTGACGTTAAGTGATAACCGTCGCATAGAGAGAGGCGTAGCAGAAGCGTCTCTAAGCTTTAAAAAGCGCGCCTCCGTTACCTCACTCACTCACGCCGGTTTTCCATGACTCATTTTCCATGAGCTATCTGTGGTCAAGGGTCGCAGAAAAGCTGTTCGTTGTGAGCCATCCTAGAGCAAGGGGCAATGTTTTGGAAGGGGAGACTACAATAGATCGCAGTGGACATTGGGACTTATACCCAACCTTTTCCACACAAACTATCTACGGTCCAGGGGCGCAGAAATCTGTTCGTTGTGGGCCATCCTACAGTAAGGAGCAATGTTTTGGAAGGGGACACTCCAATAGATCTTCAAGATCCGTTGTAGCGTTCCTTTCCAAAAGTTTGTCCTGTCCACTGCGACATTGGTACTTTCCAACATTTCCACACAACCTATCTACGGTCGAAGGGCGCGGAGATCTGTTTGTTGTGAGCCATCCTATAGTAAGGGACACTACAATAGACTTAGTATCCAACCTTTCCCACACGAACTGTCTACGGTCCAGGGGCGCGGACAAGCTGTTCGTCGTGAGCCGCACGTGCGCGATGGTGTACTGGCTGGCGGCGGGCCGCTGCGTCACGCTGGACGCTATGGGCGCGGCGGCCGGCTGCAGCGTGCTCGCTGACCGCCACGGCCTCACCGTCGCAGCGGCCGACGTGAGTGTCCAACCACCAATGATCCTCGACCTTGACGATCCGAATCGCGTAGTGGGTAGTGTACCCGCCTTCTGCGCCGGAGGGTGTGGGTTCGATCCCCGCTACTGGAAAAATATTGTGTGATGAACATTGTGTTTTTTAGTGGCTGGGTTTTTTTATATCTGTAATATGTATTTATTTGCAAAAGAAAAGTATATTTAAGTATGTTTATCAGTTATCTAGTCCGCATAGTATAAGCTTGGCTAAGTTTGGGACTAGAGAACGTTGTGTAAAAATGTGTCCTAAATATTTAAATATTTATTTAAACCAATGCCCATCGGCACATTGGACAATCTTCAGTGCTGCTTGTTTGGGCCGTTGAACAGTCTGCATTCACAGGTTGACTGGTAGAGAATGCCTTTGGGCACTTATCATGGGTAGAGAATGCCTTTAGGCATCAAGTCCGCCCTTTGTTACCCCGTCTTACTAAAGGTTCACATTAAAGATAAAATAGGTGAATAAATAAATGCTTATTGTTTGGGAAATTGAACAAGCATCAATGCTGCTCGTTTGGGTCGTTGAACAATCCGCAATCATGGGTTGACTGGTAGAGAATGCCTTTGGGCATCAAGTCTGACCCTTGCTACCTCGTTTTACTTAAGGTTGGCAATAAAGATTAAATAAGTGAATAAATAAATTCTTATTGTTTAGGAAAGGTATGGGTCGTTGAGCTATCTGTAATGATCATCGTGCGGGACATTGAACAATACTAAATATTAATGTAAATTTTTATAGTGCTAATCTCTTAATCTCGCTTAAGTTAAAACATATAAACTTGTAGAGAAAAGACTAGGAAAGTTTTTGTCTCTGAGGGATTCGAACCCACTTCTATCGGACGATTTACTACTAAGCTAAAAGCATTGCTTAAAATGCGAAAAAATAATGTAGTTAATTACGTCGAGATTGTCGCCCGGGTGGCAATCGGTCAAGTTTTTAATGTTGGTTGTATTTTTATTTAATGGTCAATTAAAATTTTAATCATCGCATCGATGTCGTATTTACATGCTTTACGGGCGCACTTTGGGAACCCAATTTTTAGCAATTGAATGGTGTTCATCTATCCTATATTAAGCGACTCCACTTTTGTATTCGACAGTGAGTGCACGGAACAGAACCGACTACCTTCCCTCAGGCCGATAAGTGTATCGCGTGAATTAGTTGCTTTATCGCAAATTAAAAGTATTATCGCTGAATTAAATTACCTAATGTTTATAAATATGCTTTTTGTTCGCAATACCGAATAACTTCGTTCATCAACAATTTTTCTTCCCTTATCCCGTTTTCCTATAGGCACTTCGCGTGCAATTATATTTGACGCTCACCATGACAATATCATTTCCATTTAAAACAATTCCGCAACAATATTGCTTAGGCTTTCCGTTCCTTTCACATCTTCGTCTACCGCAGGCGATATACTGCTACACCACCGAGGGTAGGGGCCCCTGCTACGCGCTCGCCGGCGAGAAGGTCCGAATAAACTGGTTCCGCAACTACCTGGTCATCGTCACGAACGAGACCGGCGCCAAGTCCACCGCCTCCACCAGCAGCGGGCTGGCGCCGAAGCTGCACCACCTGACCATCCTCGACATACAGAACAAGTCGATCGTCTTCTCGAAGACCTTCGCCGAGATCGACGCGGTGCTGACAGAGTGGGGCTCCTTCTACGTCCTCACGAGGGGCAAGGAGATGGTGTACCTGGAGGAGAAGGACCTGCAGTCCAAGCTGTCGCTGCTCTTCAAGAAGAACCTCTACGACGTCGCGATAAGGATAGCGAGCACCCAGCACTACGACGCCGAGGGATTGACCGAGATCTACAAGCAGTACGGCGATCATTTGTACAGTAAGGTGAGCGAAATCATCGACCACTTTTTTTGCTTTACTTTAGGATAACATTATCATGTGCTGTAAGGACGTTTTTACAAACGTAAATTTCACGCGGACAGACATCCAGATAAGAAACAACTATCTGTGTGTCACACAAATAGTTGTCCCGTGTGAGAATTGAACCCACCACCCCCGACGTCGAAGCCTTGGCAACTGGGCAACGGAGTCATCAACTTTGAAAAATGGAACATATGTATATTGTAACATAATTGTTTTAGCCAAGGACGATAAAAATAGTAATTTCATTATATTCTTTACGACACAGATATAACGCTATTTAAGTATGTAATGTTAAATATGACAATGTACTTATTTATCCTGAATCATAATTTCTTTTTTTCGTATGTTAAAGCGTAAACAAAACATTATATCATAAGACATAAATCTCGACATCTATCTACGTTCCTTTATTTCACGTTTTGCAATGCTTGGCGCCATTTGGTGTGCATTATTTAGAGCATTCAACACCTAACAATGTTTCGATTTATCACAGTTCAAAGTTTTTAAGTGCAGGGACGGGCACTAAAAATAAACATTCATCTTAAAAATTACATAAATTTATTCATCATTATTGAAACAAACTATATAATGAATAATAAATATGCGTTTTTATGACTATCGCTAACAATGTAAGCCATGAACATCTTCATTTTTACTGAGTCACGTCTATTAGACGAAAGAAGTATAGAAGAAGAAAGAGAAAGAAAATAGAAGAAGATATAATTAAGAATATAGAAGAAGAAAAGACTCCACGGTCTTACGCTGCTACTTTCTTCGCTAGACTTTCATTGTTTTTTTTTTGTTATGTTTCAGTTTATTTTCATTTTTGCAACATTGGGTTATATTGTAATTCTATTATCTTTTAGGTTCGTTATGTATCTATTGTGGTTAGACCGTGAATAATGTGTTACTTTCTTTCATCATTAATCCGCTTACTCGATTCCGCAGGGCGACTTGAAAAGCGCGATAGACCAGTACGTGAAGACCATCGGCTGGCTGGAGACCTCGTACGTGATACGGAAGTACCTCGAGTCGAGGCACCTGGAGTGCCTCGTGCAGTATCTGGAGGAGCTGCACAAGAAGGGCTTCGCCACGGAGGACCACACCACCCTGCTGCTCACCTGCTACGTGAAGATCGACCAGCACGACCAGCAGGGCAAGCTCAAGGAGTTCATCAACTCGAAGGACAAGGCCATCGACTTCGACGTGGACGTTGCCATCAAGGTGAGGGTGCAATCGAAAATTCATTTATTTATCTATCAAAGTAGATACAAACGTAAGTTGTGAAACATGTGTTAAAAAAAAATTTTAAACGGTGTTGAGGGTACGGGACTGACTGCGGCAATAGCGGACGTTTTGCCAGATATGTAGTGCCACTACATATCTGGCAAAACGTCCGCTATTGCCGTCTTTTACATCGTGAATGAAAAGTTCAATGTGGTAGGGCCACGCAATAGCATATATACGCTGGACAGCTGCGTCCGGCGAAGTACCGCCGCACAGAAGACCGGCGTGAAGGGGAAGTATTAAACTTTCGCGTTTCGTCCGTTGAGTGAGATAATCGGGTCCCAATTTTTTTAAAGGTTGACAACCTTTAAAAAAATTGGGCCCGCATCTGTAAGTCATCCGTAAGTCATAATGTGTTGATGATGTCCATGGGCGGCGGTATTCACTTAACATTAAGTAACGCAGGGAATTGTATTTTTTTTTCTGTGCCAACTAGCAAGCGAACAGACGGTCGACTTGTTAAATGAATGCCGCCGCTCATGGAAGTCTGCAACACCGTGCAGTGCAGTTCTCTTGAACGAAGCGAGTGTGCGGACTACGTAACCTAGTGCGCAGTACATAATAATATGTCGATGCTGAAAAGCGTTTTTAACTTGTAGGTTGTGCGTCAAGTGAGTCCCGACGACGCTCTCTCCTTGGCTGCGAACCACAAACGCCACGACTGGTGCCTGAGGGTCGTTCTAGAAGATAAAAAAGACTACTATCAGGCGCTGAACTACATCGCCGAGCTGGAGTTCGAAGACGCGGACAGGTACATGAAGAAGTACGGCCACAAGCTGATACAGCACGAGCCGGAGGAGAGCACCAAGCTGCTGAAACGTGAGTAAATTAATGAATAAAGTAACAGCCTGTATATGTCCCACTGCTGGGCAAAGGCATCCTCTGTACAGGGTGTATTAGGGCAAACGTAAGTGCTGTCTGAAATCGACGTGAATGGTTGTTTTTTTTTTTTTAAGTGAAAAGTTGGCAAACGAGCTGGCGGTTCACCTGATGTTAAGTGATAACCGCCACCCTTTGCACATTTGCAACAGTCGTATGTTTGCAGATTCGTTGCCACCTGTTAATAAAGTGTGCCCTGCCTACCTCACGCACCAGACGAAACCGAGAAGTAAATAACTTCTACTTCACGCCGGTCTTCTGTGAGGTCGTGGTACTTACCTGGACGGACCTGCCCATTCATGCATCAGCGATGACTATTGCGTGGTCCTACCACAGACAAAAAAAAATCACTTCTCGGTGACCACAATTCATTTTCAATTTCTGACTTGAAAAATATAACTCTGTATAGGTTCATAATTGGTTTGTATTTTTTGTTAATATTTGTTACCTGATAACTCGTCATTTGTTTTAAACAGATTTAAAAAAATCATTTGCAAAAAAGCATTAAATTCAGTTTAAATTCCACGTGGTCCTGTATTAATTTTGTTGGTATATTTTGACCAAAACCAATAGCAAAAGTATATTGAGTAAGATATTTCAAGTTGGTTTTGTGTTTTGTTACTTTTTATTAATTGGTTCAGATTTATTAGTGTACTTGTTGTAATTATATAGTTCATCACATAATAAACACATTTCTACCTTTCAATGTCTATCGGAATAACTTTGTTTAAATGGTGTATAAGTGTTTTTTTTATTATTATGGTATAAATACCATACTTTTATACATGTATAATAACTTTTCAACACGATTTGAAAAAGTGTATGAAACCTAAAATATGAAGCTAAATATTTTATATTGCAGTTCTCTGTACCGATTACAAGCCTCGCAGCAAGCCATTAGTGGATGAGGTAACCTTATCTGGGGGAGATAGAGAATGTGTAAGGTAAGTAATTTTATGCTATTCCTAATTCATAATTTTTTTTAATGTAATAAATTTTCTAATAAATCAGTAGACGCTTAAAGCAACAAAAATGTGTTTAAAGAAAAAATAAAAATGTCTTAACAGAGTGAAATCAATAATAAAACAATAACAAAAAAAACGGCTGCATATTCTTGTAAAACTGTTTTAACGTATTTAGTTTAAGGTTAGTTAACATAATGGTTTGACTTCCTGAATTTTTATAGTACATGCAATCTATCTCAGTCACCACTTTTTGAGCCAATTTATATATTATAGCTACAAAGGTCTTTTTTGTTGAAACGATAAACTTCCATAATTCATCATCAAATTTAATGATTCAAATACCGTTTTAACGCTCATGTTTGCCGCTATTGACCAAAAATAGACAATTTTAATCAGGTAACTGTTTTTATAAAAAAAAATTTCATTTAAAATTTTCTTATTAAAATGTATGTATTTTATGATGTATGATAGTATAATGCCATCTATTGACAATTTGTCCAAATGAAAAATAGCTAATTAGATTGAAAAACGTTTTTTTTTAAATAGCCTTTCATTGATAAATACCTATTAACTCGTTATAATATTACCACCGAGTATCGTTAACTACTTGTAGTCTAATAACGACCGGTTTCAATATTGTATCTATCTGTAGATTCGGTTACTAGCGAATAGGTGGTATCACTTAACATTAGCTCTATAATTCTTACGTCAAAATTCTACCTCCAATAACCAAAGCGACAGATAGACAGCATACTGAAACCCTCAAACGTTTTAATTTCCGTTTCCCAAGGGCCGAGCCCGACGACTATATCCACATGTTCCTGTGCAACTCCGAGTGTCTGATAGATTTCCTGGAGCACATGACATCGGCAACGGGCGCAAAGTGCTCCAGCCTCGTCTACAACACGCTCATCGAGCATTACATACACGTGTGGTAAGTGGAGTGAAATCAAACTATTATTATTATTTTGGGGGGATATTCATTTGTTTTCTCGTCTGGTTGGGTTTATAAATAAAAATAAGAATATAGATATATATTGCATATATAAAATAAATATTATGTATAAAAATAAACATATATATATATATATATATATATATATATATATATATATATAATACATATATAAATAGGACCCAACCAGATTTATTATTATTACCGTGGCAAGGTCACGTAACAGTATTCATTGTTGCACGACCTCACAGAAGACCGGCGTGAAATGGAAGTGTTATACTTCTACGTTTCGTCTGGCAAGTGAGGTAGCCGGGGTCCACATTATTAAAAGGTGGCAACACATCCGCAACCGGTGTTGCAAACGTCTGTGGGCGGCGGTTTTATCATGGTCGATGTTATTTCAATAATTAATCGCAAAAGTAATAAATAATAATGTAAATGTATAATTCTCCATAATATTCTCGTCTTGTAGGGCGAAATTGCCTGATGTGGACAAGCCCCAATACGAGCAGAAGATTTTCAAGGTGCTACAGGACCCCGAGGCGAACTACGACAAGGATCAGACCCTGATCATATGCCAGATGCTGGGCTTCAAATTGGGCATCCTTCACCTGTACGAGGAGAAGAAATTGTGAGTACTTACTATTTCATTCGTGGATTTATCAACCGAAAACATTTTAAACGATCAGCGGGTTTTAGTGTAACAAACTTAAAAATGTGATATGTTCGAACCTGCGGCGCCGAAAGTTTGTAACTATTAATCTACAAGATAGGGTTTTAGGAGTAAAAATATAATTAATAATAAAAAAAGTAACACCCTTATGAATATTCGAATCGTGGATGGTTATAATGAAAATAAACCGTGTGCGTAGCGTTAAGAAATATGTATTTTATGGTGTGAAGTGTATGAACATTTTAAAGCACCTTCAACTGTGCGAGATGTCCTTGTGGGATGTGGCACCTTGCCAACTGCTAATGCGCGACGTTGAGACTTCTATCCTAGGACTAGAAATTGTGTGATCACTCACACGTCGCATCGGCCGACATATATATAACACGAAGACGCAATCTTCCCCGACCCGCGACCATGGCCTTTTCAGTCCGCTCCCCGGGAGCTGGGTGACGACTGAGTGAGCCCCAAGCTGATGCGGCGTTTTAACGCGGACTCACCACCTCCCATGGCCCACCTCCATCAACGGTCATATTATGTCCTCGCATGCACAAACTAAAGGATTCATTCTACTCCTTCCTGAGTCAACTCTCTGGACATGGGCGTTGCCCAAATCCCCGCCCCCCAAAGTGAACCCGGTCCCGGCGGCAGATGGCGCGCTGCGGTGGCGCTGCACCTGCGCGCGGGTGCGCCCGACGCGGCGCTAGTGATGTGCCGGCGTCGCGGCGCCGCCTGCCCGCAGCTGTGGCGCGACGTGCTTCGCGCCGCGCCGCCCGCGCGCTGCCTGCCCGAGGCGCTGCGCGCCGTAGGTGAGTCTCGACCTTGCTACCGACGCAGAAGGTCGAAAGTTCTATGGCCAATTCTGCGAGCCGAACGCCGCCCGCGCTGCACGCCGCAGATGAGTTTCGATCTTGCGGCCGCTGCAGAGGGTCGAAAGTTCTATGTACCGGCCCGCGAACTCGTACGCCGCTTGCGCTGTACGCCGCGGGTGAGTCTCGACCTTGCGGCCGCCGCAGAAGGTCGAAAGTTCTATGGCCAATTCTGCGAGCCGAACGCCGCCCGCGCTGCACGCCGCAGATGAGTTTCGATCTTGCGGCCGCTGCAGAGGGTCGAAAGTTCTATGTACCGGCCCGCGAACTCGTACGCCGCTTGCGCTGTACGCCGCGGGTGAGTCTCGACCTTGCGGCCGCCGCAGAAGGTCGAAAGTTCTATGGCCAATTCTGCGAGCCGAACGCCGCCCGCGCTGCACGCCGCAGATGAGTTTCGATCTTGCGGCCGCTGCAGAGGGTCGAAAGTTCTATGTACCGGCCCGCGAACTCGTACGCCGCGGGTGAGTCTCGACCTTGCGGCCGCCGCAGAAGGTCGAAAGTTCTATGGCCAATTCTGCGAGCAGAACGCCGCCCGCGCTGCACGCCGCAGATGAATTTCGATCTTGCGGCCGCTGCAGAGGGTCGAAAGTTCTATGTACCGGCCCGCGAACTCGTACGCCGCTTGCGCTGTACGCCGCGGGTGAGTCTCGACCTTGCGGCCGCCGCAGAAGGTCGAAAGTTCTATGGCCAATTCTGCGAGCCGAACGCCGCTCGCGCTGCACGCCGCAGGTGAATTTCGACGTTGCGGCCGTTGCACTAGGTCAAAAGTTCTATAGCCCAACCTGCGAACTCAAACGCCGCTTGTGATACGCGTCGCAGGTGAGTCACGGCCTAGTAACCGCTGCAGAAGGTTGAAAGTTCTATGGCTAATTCTGCGAACCGAACGCCGACCGCGCTGCACCCCGCAGGTAAGTCTCGCACCTTGCGGCCGCTGCAGAAGGGTGAAAGTTTTATGGCCGACACGACGATATAAGGCAGACTGACCGTATAAAAAAATCCTCTTTATAATCCATTCTATTTTAATAAATATAATAACGTAGCCAACAAAATAAATCTCTAGTCCCAAACTAAAAAACGTTTGTGCTATGGGAACTAGATAACTGATACATAAAAATACTTTTCTTTTGTAAATAAATTGGTATGTTTACACCCAGACATCACATTAATCACACAACATATTTCCAGTAGTGGGGATATCTGGCACAAGACGGGTTCAAAACCACTGCGCCAAGTAAATTTAACCATACAATTTTTTTTTAATAATCCGTGAGTTCATAGACTAATTGGTGAAGGGTCTGGCCGTTAAACCGAAAGACGAAGGTTCGAACTCCACAGCGCCGATAGTTATTGATCATTTATCTACAGACATTCGTAATTTAAAATTTCATCAGTTTTGTTTTTGTTGCAGCCACCGAAAAGCTTCTTTCGCCCATTCTAGTCATCGACTGCCTCGCCAGTACTCAGTCATACACGCTAGGAGACGTGCGCAAGTAAGTTTGTATGCGGTGATCTCTTAAGTAGTTCATCCGTACATTTTACGTTGTTAGAAAACAGTAGCGTCTAAATTTATTACTTTTAAAAATATAAAGCGAGAATATAATCATTAGATATAAAATGTTATAAAATTTGTGTCTATATTTCTATGTGGCATAGACTTAACATCACCGGAAAACTTAAATGATGCCACTATATACATCCTCAATTATTTAGGGGAACTTTTTACGTACAGTAGTTGTTCGAAACTTATATCTTCATACAAATCATTTCCATCCCTTAAAATAGACAATACCACACCATTTCTAAATAACCGTACTATTTGTTTTTTTTTTATGTTAAAAGTTGCCAAACGAGCAGACGGTTCACCTGATGTTAAGTGAATACCGCCGCCCATGGACATCTGCTACACCCGAGGGTTACAGATGCGTTGACAACCTTTTGAAAATTGGCCTCCGGCTACCTCACTCGCCAGACGAAACGCGAAAGTATTTGTCATACTTCCACTTTACGCTGATCTTCTGTGAGGTCGTGGTACTTACCCGGACGGGCCTGCCCATTCGTGCAACAGCCGAGGCTGCTGCGTGGCACTACCAGATATAGATTAAACTTATCGGAAATTTAACTTGTTCGAACTTACCAGAAACCTAAAATTAATCCTCGTAAACAACGCCGAAAAAACTTTAGTTACTCATAACATTGAACTGACGTCACACGAATCTCCTAGATACCTGATGAACGTGCTCAAATCAGAAGAGGAAGTGATAAAGAGGGAACAGGAGCTGGCAACGAAGTACAGAAACGAAACGGAGAAGATGAAGGCGCAGATCCAAGTGATACAGAACGAGCCAATTACCTTCCAGAGTTCCAGGTGCGCGGCCTGCAACAGACCGCTCGAGCTACCGACTGTTCATTTCTTCTGTCAGCACTCCTTCCATCAGCAGTGAGTGCTTGTTTGCATCCTCATTTACCGTGTTAATATTTATGTATATTTATTGTCCAATACTAATAATATTCCCCTTATAGACCTAATTTCAAGAGTTTAATTTATATTTTGTAGATGATGCACTACTTAGAATCGAAGATATGGCTTTATTTACTGAAATCATTAATTGTTCAGACTCAAGCGGTTCGTATTCCTGTACCGCAAGATTTATCGTTCATTGAATTCTATTTAGCTTTCTGTTCCAGCTAGTATATTATGTTAATTTAACGACCAGAATGACGTAGTGGGTAGTGTACCTGCCTCCTGAGCCAGAGTGTGGGTTCGATCCCCACTACTAGAAAAATATTGTGTGATGAACATCGTGTTTTTCCAGTTTCTGGGTGTTTATATATGTATAATATGTATTTATTTACACGAGAAAAGTATGTTTAAGTATGTTTATTAATTTTCTAGTACCCATAGTACAAGCGTTGCTTAGTTTGGTGCTAGAGAACGTTGTGTAAAAAAAATGTGTCCGAATTATTTATTATTATTAAATACTACTAATTGGAAGTAGTAACGGATGGGGATGCTGGCGTCCAGCTGTTTCCAGAGCTACTCGGAGACGGAGCGCGAGTGCCCGGCTTGCTCTCAAGGCGGAGCGCGCACTGAACCGCCCCACCGCACCGCCGACACGCTGCATTCACGCCTCCACAGCGACCACGACCCGTGAGTTCGACTCCCACTCTGCCCACTCGTAGTGCACGGCCTACTGCGTGCCTTTAAAGATCTCTCTATCGAGTGTTTTTAAAACATCCAAAACGAACCGTGGGATAAACATTTACTCTACCTATTCTTAGGGTAAGACCCCTCTGAGTGGCTTTAAAACGTACAGCGACCAAGACCTGCCTTTAAAACATCCATAACAAATCGTGAGTTTAACATGCACTCTCCTCACTCATAGTCTACGACCTACTTACTCTTCGAGTAGCTTTAAAATGTACAGCTACCACGAACCGTAAGTTTTCTCGAGTTTACCCTCTACTCTCCCTACTCTTAGTGTGAAAATCTCTCGAGAGGCTATAATACGTACAGCAACCACGACTTGTGAGTTCAGCACTAACTCTGCCCACTCGTAGTATACGACCTACTCTCCCAGTAGCTTTAAAATGTACAGATATCACGAAGCGCAAGCTTACTCGAGTTTAAACTTACTATACTGTCCATACTGTTAGTGTAAGAATTTGAGTGAAGATGCCGAGTGGTTAAAATACGTACAGCAACCACGACTTGTGAGTTCAGCACTAACTCTGCCCACTCGTAGTAAACGACCTACTCTCCCAGTAGCTTTAAAATGTACAGATATCACGAAGCGCAAGCTTACTCGAGTTTAAACTTACTATACTGTCCATACTGTTAGTGTAAGAATTTGAGTGAAGATTACGAGTGGATAAGATACGTACAGCGACCACGACCCGTGAGTTCGACACCAACTCTGCCCACTCGTAGTATACGACCTACTCTCCCAGTAGCTTTAAAATGTACCGCTATCAAGAACCGCAAGCTTACTCGAGTCTAAGCTTACTATTCTCTCCATACTGTTAGTGTTAGAATTATGAGTGAAGATTCCGAGTAGTTAAGATACGTACAGCGACCACGACCCGTGAGTTCGACACCAACTCTGCCCACTCGTACTTTACGACCTACTCTCCCAGTAGCTTTAAAATGTACAGATATCACGAAGCGCAAGCTTACTCGAGTCTAAGCTTACTATTCTCTCCATACTGTTAGTGTAAGAATTTGAGTGAAGATTACGAGTGGATAAGATATGATACGGACAGTAGTCACGATCCGTGCCCACTCTGCCCACTCGTACAAACGAATGAACTCGTACGTGTACGAACTACCCTCCAAGTAGCTTTAAAATGTACAGCCATCACGAACCGTAAGTTTGCTCGAGTTTACCCCCTACTCTCCCTACTTATAGTGTAAAAATCTCCGAGTGGCGTTAAAACGTACAGTGACCAAGACCCGTGAGCTAGACAACCACTCTGCCCACTCGTAGTGTACGACCTACCCTCCGAGTAGCTTTAAAATGTACAGCCATCACGAACCGTAAGTTTGCTCGAGTTTACCCCCTACTCTCCCTACTGATCTCCAAGTGGCTTTGAAACGTACAGTGACCAAGACCCGTGAGTTCGACACCCACTCTGCCCACTCGTAGTGTACGACCTACCCTCCGAGTAGCTTTAAAATTTACAGCTATCAGGATCCATAAGCTTAATCGAGTTTACCCCTACTCTCCCTACTCTTAGTGTAAGACCTCTCTACTTTAAAACTTATCGATCACCATACTTTAGTGGTCGCATTAGTATCTGGAACAGTTATGACGTCCATTGATTTTTATTTCTCTTATTTGGCCTGATTGAAGAGTACATATTTATTTTGTAGACGGATCAACGAAGCAAGTTTTATATCACGAAGCAGTTTGATAAAACATCTTGTGTGTCAAAATCTTTACACTTGACACTTAATACAACACCAATAGAATATACATAGAACCTTTAAACTACAAGTAGTTTCAAATGAAAACAGAATCATTTCTTATTTATTGTTTAGTACATATAGTCTTTTACATAAACCATGAATAGAAACGGCTCAAGTTAATTCCCCGAGGAACACCCATGCACAATAAATTATAAATATGCAATATAAACTAGAAAGTCGTTCCTTGGTAAATGTATTAACTTTTATAATAAAATAGGTTACATCCACAAACAACTAAGTATAAACAATTTTAAACATTTTGTAAGAGCTATCTTATTGGAAAGGACCTATTATAGGTCCTGATAACAAAACATGTTACTTGTTGCTCTTTATTGGCTAAACATACATCAAAATTGCTGTAGATGATTCAAGGCCTACTTGGATCTCAAATCTCTAAAAATCCATTAGGGTTTCATTTCCATCAGATTTTTCTTAATGCTCTAAAGTTCCTCGATATGGGGAACCGAGTTTCGTTTATTTTTTTCAATAATTTAAAGCAGTTTAATAATGCAGAAGCATATACTACTATACAAGCGAATGTTTCCATTTATTCTTATATTCCAATGGACAAATATTATTTATACCATTTGTGTCAATAACGCCTAAAAATTTATAATACATTGCATTACATACATATATTAGTAGTAATTTTAGACGTCAGACTTCAGTGTAACATTTGACATCTATCGGACGGACGTGTTAATTGTTTACCCTTTTTTGTCTTTTAAAGTACAGTTTACTTTGCGAAGTGTCTATTTGTATATAGCTGACTGTTAGTTTTCTTCCATGTGCCCATGAAGTCTTTTCTTATGTTCCCGCCATTTTCTTGTTGTTTTAAAAACAATGCTACGGACAATCACAATGGGTAATATATTCAGAAGTGTTTATTGATAGCAAATCAGTTCGTTTATTAATATTCGCTTGTGTGTCTAATGTATGTGTGATTAATGTGTTATAAATACTTGTACAGTTAATGTTATCTTAGAAAAGTTTTTATCGGTTATGTTCAATTTTCTTATTTTTTCTAGTAATACATAATGGTGTGATAAATTCATGTCTTGTATTATGATTTATGACAATATTAAATTCAATAATTATTAGGTACAGTTGTTTATGGCAAATTCTTAAGTTTATTCTTAGGTTTTTTAGTCTAAACATGAAATTGGATCAGTATTAACGTGTTTCATAATTTATTTCAATAAATAGTTTAACTAAGTCTCAACAACCTTATGCAATTCTTATCATCACGTTCTCTAGTATTGCACAGTCATGAACATTAATTCACTATTACAAACATTCGTCTGTGAAATTAAAGCGTGAAACTAACTTTAAATATTGATAATAAAAACTAACGTTTTTAATATTATTTTTGTTAAGAAGCCCTTCGATCTATTATCGATCAAAATTTTTTTGGTAAAAGTCACAAGAGCTATGTGACGGGTAATGCAGCGCGGAGATGAACATAAATATACTGTGAAAATTTTCATAACTTCTTAAAAATAATCGAGAATGTAACGTATTAGACAATGAAATCTTATTAATATGATAATATTTACATTTCGAACACTTAGCAGACTCTTTCCTCCGTTCATGGTCCGTGTCTGGAGTAAAAAATGTTTGTTCTTTGCACAGATACGCCGTTGTCTCGGAATATTTCGGACGCGGTCTATTTAACAAGCTGACGGTGGTGACGGGCAACTCTCAAGAGAGCCTCGCTACCGCTTCCGCGCCCGCTGCCGCCCCCGCGCCCGTTCCCGCTCCCGCTTCCGCTGTGTCCTCGCAGACGTACGGCCCCGGTGCCGAGGCGAAGTTGCGTTTGCAGGAGGGGCAGAGCAAGCAAGGTAAAGTGGAACTTATTGCGTTGTCGCAAAGTTAATTTTAACGTGATTTATGTCTATGCGTGTGTGTGTGTGTGTGTGTGTGTGGGTGTGTGTGTGTGTGCGTTGCTTCACACAGCGAGGACTGTGCACTACACAGGTTTTGAAGTGTAGAGTACTTTATTTTGTTGACAGTAAAAAATATATATTCATTCTACATCCGAACTAAAAACCTTCGACTCAATGGGCATACGGTCTTGCCTCTGTTCGGCGCTATCATAAAAATCGACGTGACTGCAAATCGGATATACCTTTAAAGTTTACGAGCATTTATATTTATTTATTACTTTCGCGATAACATTTGATAGGAACGTAACCGATATCTTAATGATAACAAACAATTGCTTTGAATTGTTATTGAGTTAGACCGATCGTGGTAAAAGATATTGCTTCTAAGTTATAATTTTCAGTTAGTTACAAATCGCTATATGAAAACTCGTCGAAGAGTATTTAGAAAACAATCATTACGGTTAAAACTTCTAACTAAGTTAAAACTTCGAGATAAAGAATTTAACTTTCGTTTTTGCATTGCTTATAACATTGTTGTATTTTACTTTTTTAACAACTATTGATAACTTTATAGAAACATTTTTTTTTAAAAAAACTTTTTAGAAACATAAACCTGAGGCAAAGAACATGAGCTCATAGCTACCTGAGTGTCTACGACAGAGTAACTTTAGGAAAAGGAGTAAAATCATTTAGGGACAATAAAGTGTGTTTGATTTTTAATTAAATGCGATAAAAAAAAGAAATGTCCCCATTTGACATAAACATTCGCTTAAATACAATAAAAAATAATACACACTCTCTTTACTATGACCTCAAAGAATTCAAAGTGTTCTGTATTGATAAGATATAATTAAAACTTAAGTTTCATCGATTGATAAGAAAGACGTGCGGGTTAGTGAGTGTTTATTAGTTTTATAGATTGACATTAAAAAAAATTGAGTATATGTTTGGTGTTTTATTTTCTACGAGTTGCGCACGAGGTTTCACCCACGTGGTGATGAAAAATGGTGGTGATATTATTGATAAATAATAAAAAATTGCGTAAGTCCTGTATCACAATTCCGGCGAAATCGACACGAAATTGTAATTGATTCAGCTGTTTTGTCCCAAAAAGGCGACAAACAGACAGATAGTTTCGAATTTATAATTATGTAGAAGATATAGAAGGCAATTTTTTTTCTTCGAATTTTAGGTATTAAAGTTTACCTAAAATTCGAAGAAAAAAAACCCCATCCGTCCTATCTTTCATCAGTACTGGCACATGATAAAGTTTTTTAGTTATTTTTTTTTTTTGTTACGCCAAAGAAACATTACTTCTTACGTGTCTGCATAATTACACACATACTTTTTTTGTGAGTTAAACTTTCCTTCTGACTTTTAAGTAGCAACCAGTCATTAAGTGACTGCACGAAATATATCGCAGTCGCTTAGAGTGAAAAACATGTTGGACAGCACACCCATGTTTGTACTAATAAATTATTATTATAATTCGCATAATTTCATAAGTGGTAGAGCCACGCAGCAGCCTCGGCTGTTGCACGAATGGGCAGGCCCGTCCGGGTAAATAGCACGACCTCACAGAAGACCGGCGTCAAGTGGAAGTATAATACTTTCGCGTTTCGTCTGATGAGTGAGGTGGTCGGAGCCCAATTTTCAAAAGGTTGTCAACGCATCTACAAACCCTCGGGTGTAGCAGACGCCCATGGGCGGTGGTTTTGACTTATCAGGTGAACCACCTGCTCGCTTGGCAACTTTTAACATAAAAAAAAATGTTGCAGTGTTCGTTCCTAACGCGGCTAAGCAAATGGCGCCCAAAGGCAGCGCCGTGATACCGGTGCCCGAAGGTCGGATGCGGCTGATGGAACAGCATCAGTACGCGTCCAGCTTAGAGGCCAACATGACCAAGCTAGAGCCGAGGGCGCACGCCAGGTCTTCCCCGATGACCACCAGGAGAGAGTAAGACCCGATTTCAAAGACATCGGCCGGTGTCAATGCTCCATCTATCTCTGGACTTGGTTACTTGCGATACTTTTTTTTACATTAGCTATATTAATCCTTTGTAGATATTTACTTAATTACTTTGATCTTAAATTTAGTTACGCTGGTCTAAGATTCCGCACAAAAATCTTATTAGGTCTAGTCTCTTTTCAATATTAACCCTATCGCACTTTGCCGTCAATTTCTCCCTTTCCTGTATTTCAGTTTGTCCATGTTCGTTAATTTTTGACTCTGTACACGATCTAAACAGCTAAAGGCCGATATAGACATTGTCCATCGTCGCTCATAATAAGTGTCATTTATTTCCAGCATTCAGGATTCTAATGGCTCCCCGAAAATATCGTCGGCGATCGCCAACGGTGCGAGCAAGAACCCCTTCGAGGAAGACACTTACGACGAGGCCAAGAACCCATTCACCGACGAAGACAACAAGGACCCCACCAACCCCTTCGCCGAGGACGACGATTACGACAAGAACCTCAACCCGTTCTCGTGAGGCAAAAATTTTAAATAGAGATTCTTATCGATTGTTATTTTACGCCATGTCGCCAACGAGATATTGATTTAATAAAAAAATCCCACGTGGTCTAGACGGGTGCTATACAACAGTGGGAAAAATAATAGGTTCCGACATAATTTTGTTTTAGCCAAATTTCTTTATTAACTTTACAGTTCCTACGATGGCAACACTCATGCCGAGTTTGACAAGACTGGCAAATGATTTATCTCTATTATAGTGAAGTTGAAACTTCACACCGAAACAAGTGAGAGTCAATTTCTGAGTAATGTTGCCAAAGTACCTACAACATATTTCTATATACAGGCTGATTTCTTAGACGAAGTACATAATTTGACATAATGTTAATTGAGTATTCCATAATTCAAAAAAATATTAATATTTTTATTTTGACAAGAAATAACATTGTTTATCCCGTTAAGAGTGGTCACTCTATTGATAAGCGGTTTAGTAGTGACAGTAACAGTTTTAGTGCTCATGAATTGAAGAGAAAGAAATTGAAAGATATTGTACCGAGACTGTAAGACAGAAATTTCTAATAGGGTGTCAAAAATAATCTTTGAAAAAAAAATTACGTCACAAGGTCACGTCTCAGATTCAGATTTAGAATCAAATTCTGCATATGGTCTGTTAATATGTCCGTCGTCTATAAAATCAACCTGTGTAGCCTAATTTCATTTTTATTTTTTCACTGTGGCAACAATCCTGGTGAATTTTAAGCCTAGTAACAGATTTTTTTATGTCCACGTTAATTACTGCTGTAATTAGACGTTCACAAACGCTTACCTTTGTCTATGTGATATGAAATATAAGTCATTTTTATACATTTAACTATGCGTTAAACCGGAAAAGAGAAATATCTCTTCCATATATCTATATATGCATACGACTTAAAACGATAAATAAATGAATGTTAACCAAAATTTAATGAACACTAAATTTAAATGTATAGCTGCTTATTTATCATTAACCTATTTAGCCCTTTCCCGAGTTCATAGAAAAGTCTCAGCTAAATCGTACGAATTTCAATAAATGTATTCATTTATATTATGTATGTAAATGCAAAGCTTGAAAAGCATGTAATGAAATATCATACGTGATCTACATTCCTTGAATTGTATACATGCTAAATATATCGGCTGGTAAATATGTAAGAGTAAATGTGTAATTATTGTTTTAAATATTTATTATGTATTAAGTTCGGATCTTGATATTTTTTAATGTAAGTTAACATTGCATTAATATAGATTTGCATGAAATTAACCGCATATTTTTGTCTTTTTGTCTTGTCATTATTATTTCGTTCAAAAATGCCTTCTATCCAACATTTTTCCCTCAGCAAGACATTATGTAAACACTAACAATATAATTAACATATACATAAATATTGTCAATAAAAACATTTTTGCACTCATTCATATATGAAGTTAGGAAAGTTTTGATACTGCTCTGACTTTGTATAGTCAAATATACCAAAAACTGATATAGGTATACTTGTACTGTTCTATACCAATTTCTAAATATAAATATCAGCTATATTTTTCTTTCATATAATAAAATAAGTTTTATAAATTTTCATCATTACCAGCAGCGGCATTTTTATCCAATTATATAATTTATTTTCGAACACCCGTTACTTGGTCACCCAAAACCCTGGAATCATGGGTTTTGGGTGACCTTTATTCCTTTACAGATTATATTTATATTTTAAATCTCTTAAGATTACTTTCTCTACGACTGTCAGGAAAAAAGAAAATTTTTATTTTGTATTATAGAAAAAAATCAATATTTACGCCAAGAGGGTTTAAGGTTTAAGTTTTTTTAGATTTATTACAATAGCATATTAATTAATATCTTTATATAATTCATTTCAATATTCATTTCTTCATTTATTCCTTAATCTTGTTTAGACGGATATTAAACTTAAATGCAGATTTAAAAATGCAATAATTTACCGATATTGATTGCCGCTAATCCATAATTCGAGATGACACTCCTAATTTGGGGGGTCAGTGAATGCAAGTAAAACAACAATACGGAAATTTTCAAAGCATTTTATTTATGACCTTTAACACTGTGTATAATATATTTTGATAGTACATTTAGAGCAATGAGTAATATTACCGATCATTACATCGTTCTTAATTTCATAAATTGAATGAAATCCATAATTATACATAGAATATATAATTTATCTCAAACATCATTTCTCGACCAACAATAAACGATCACTATTGAAATCACAAGAAACGGCCGAGCGTGGTGGCGGTCAGATGGAACCGTGCGCGACTCACGCACCGCACGTGGCGTGCGCAACGCACGTGCAAACATGACGCAGAACATGGCACGTGCGTGCGTGACGCACACCGCGCGCATCGCGTCACTAATGTCCAAGCTTTAACTGACGCCTCGGTGCACGGTAATAGAAGCATTAAACAAAACGACCAACTCGCCGGCGCCTCCAAATCTTTTCCAAACAACCGCGACAATCACAAATAAATTACGTAGAACAATAATGAACCCAATGTCAAAGTAACAGCTAGTCCTATAAAAATAAGTACAGCTTAAAGAGTACGCTCTATAAAAATATATATAATCCAGCTTAAGCTGTTATATCTAATTTAAGAAGGTCTTTTGAGGTCTACAAAAATATAACCAAACAAGAAGCTCTGCGAACAAGAACTCAGAAGAGAATGTTTACATTGTAAGAAAAATATTTCACATCCCCCGCACGGCACACCCGCGATTTTAACTCTGCTCTCTATTAACTACATAAACACCATTTTGCTATGCAAAATACATTATCCTAGACATTTAGAAAAAAATGAAATAATTTACAAACTTTGGAATGTTATAAAAATGACTAGAAAAGAAAGAATATAAATGTGGTTTTATGTAGCATGAGATCTTTTCATTCGATAAAGTTAGAGATTAAATATATTTAGAGAATTATAGCGATGTTGGTGGTGAAAGAATTTTAACAGAGAAAGTTGAGAAATCAGGTTGAGCACTCCGCCAAACTTTGATCAAACTAAATAAGTCCTACAACTTCAAATAAGGAGATGATTTGACGTTGTGCTGTCAAGAGAAACATTTACGAATTACACAATCATCTGAAAATGACAATTAACTTAGTAATTTTCAATTTTTTTTTAAGAAATATAACACACAGCATGTCTAAACTTCTGGTTAATACTTTTTCAACTTACACCTATTTAAGTCTAAACTAAATTATCATCAGGATATTCTAGTGTTCAGCCGAGTATTTGTCTACGATCAGTGTGCAAGCTTGTGAACTTGACTTCAGACGAGAAGGAAAGCATGTTTTTTTTTATTTATTTTAATATTTAAGTATATATATAAGTAGGTACCAGTGAACTAGTCAGGATATTTACAACGACTAAATTCCACTTAAGCTTACAAAATTTTCATGAAATATAATCTATTAATGCGCTCGTACTATTCGAACGGGAGAAAGTCACCTATAAGCGATAGTATAGTAGTGACGTAAATATAATATAATTATTTTTATTTAACACTCATTTAAGCGGTAACGAGAGTAAGTTTGTTTGGACTTTAAACAGACGGCTTAGACGTAGAAATGAAGAAGTCGACAGTGGAGAAATTATCGTTATACAAAACTACTGTCACATCGATTACCTAACTACTGCTTTAAGAATGTATATATTATCTGCGTAACATTGAACTAAGGGCGTGAGATGGCCGCATCAGCTTCTTCGTAGTGGAGCGACGGCATCGACTGCTTGATGAGTTTCGCACAGAATCCTCGAAACTACGGGTGTAAGCTATCACACGATATACCTACGGATGAACCTGAACCTGACTAGACGTTTCCAGCGGAATGAGTTTTGTGACGTTGACATTGACGGAACCGAGAGCGGTTGTGACTCCGCACCGAGAACATCCCAATAACCTACTTTATACAATCCAACCGATAATAATTAATAATTGTGGACACCTAGGAACTCAAACAACTAAATTATATATAACAACACAACTCCCGTCGACAATAATGCGGTTTAGAGCAAGCGTTATGAGAGTTTTATCGGGACACTGACTAGGATACTAGAATGTTTGCGATTGATTATTACAATGTATTTACAATCAACGCCAGAGTGAAACATAATGGTACGTATGACGACGTACGGCGCATAGACGGCTCGGGGCATTCGAGCCCCACAAAATATATTTAATCTAAATGCTTGTGTCATACGTATTTACAAGGTAAATTACAAGAATAATGCATCCAAAGTTGGGTGTGAATCATACAGATATACTCTGTTTCAGTTTCATTTATAATTCAGTTTTAAATCCATGCTTGCGGACACAGCGAACTGGAATTTTGAATGGCGGTATTGGATCTCGCCGTCTTGATACTTTTGTGCGCAACGATGCTACATTTGACGTTTAATTGCACATAAGTCGAAATTTTACAAGTTTCCGTGGAGTACGCGCGCCGGTGAACCACAATTGTATGAGATGAAACTTCGGCTGACAATACCAATATTAGCATCTACTAAAATTATTGAAATGGAATGGATAGATCGCTCATATAATCGTGGTCACCAGCCGCTTTACCAAATCATACATATCATTGAAAATTATATAAAAAACGCACCCTAAACTAGATATTGAAACAGCTCACATCGCGTCTTCCCGATATAAATATTTCATTTCTTTACCCCGCATTCCGATTTATCAGTGCACCGGTTTGGTCCCAAACTACATGCATGACCTTGTATATATGTTTAAAAACTATGTCGAATAATGTAAAATATATAACAACATATATATATATCTATTTACGTATAGACCGTATATGTCATTAAATGCTTTTGTATAATACTGCTAACAACTTTGGGATATGCTAAATTAATTGATTCTATGTTATATATAAATGATGAAAATCAATCAACGAAATATACGACCGAAAATACATGAATGTATAAATACCATATTACTCAAGTGTCCACTGGACTTCAGCAACTTGTGTACTTGTGCTTGCGCAATTCAAACGAAAATAGGACATAACTTAAATAAAATATTGAGAATGAACATGAAGCCTGATATTGGTATTTCAATCACCCTCCGGAACTATATTCCCACCAAACCAGTCACGGAATTGATATTCAACATTTCGTTATGCAATCTCGTGTGCTCAACACCGTCTCTATCAACCATCAGAAGTCACTTATCGTGTTTACATATCTGATTATTATTGGCAAGATCTGGCACAGCATTGAGTAAAGAACAATAAAAATTCTATACAATTATCATAATTAGTGTAACGTATATAGACAATATATATATAAAAAATGTGGCGTACAGGACGGCATGTTTGGCACAGTATAGTCTAATGGTTACAGGAAAAGTTGGCTTAAAATATAACCTGAAAGTAAGTTGTTGGCGAACCAAACATGTCGAGCTGAATGCTTGTCTACACAGGACTAAGTATGCGAGAATTGACGAATTACATTTGATATATTTATAGATATTTCAATAGAATTGAATAGATAATTCTACATTTACGTTTAAAGTCAAATACATATAGCAATCGAAGCGATTAATATTGCCCTACGATAACATAAAGCACGTACACTTTTGCGTAGCGTAAATGATATATAACAATATACATCATAACCATATCGTTTAACGAAATCCATAACATCAATAAGAAGACAGAATTACCGAAATACAAAACGCCAACATAAAGGATAATAAGCAAAAAGTTTACTTTACCGATACAGTACCACTGAGAGCGCAACCGTCAGATGCAGACAAAATGGCGCGAACGTCAACAGATACAGATAAAACAAACGATAGGGTGCGTTCAGACTAGAGCGGTGTGAGCACGTGCGAGGCGAGCCGTTTCAATGTCCGTTAGCGGTGCGTTCGCGCACTGCGACGCGCCTAATGAACGAGGATAGAGTCCATGACGAGTTCTCATGCGAGCGCCGAGGCCGCCTTGTCGCCGCGCCGCGCCGACCGCGACCTGTGCCCGCACACCTTTACGCGTGTACATTCACTTTGCTTCCCCACGATTTGTCATCTCACTCAAACCCCTCGGCGATGAGAGCGACGGAGGATCGCGCCTGACGTCACACGAGCGAACGGAAGCCGGGAGAACATTCGATTCGTTTACTCAATTATTCATTTATGTACCACTAAAATGCGATGTTTTCAATTGAAATTTAATGTTCAAATATTTTGCGAATTGCAAATACGTTTAAATACACTTCCATTCGCTCCGATTCAGGGCGATTGTTTTAGGAAAAAAAATATCGCTTTTATCGCTGAAGGGTCGTATTTTGAAAACAAAAATTACTAATTCGGAGGAAAAAGAAAAACAAATCGCTACGAAACAAAGTAAAGGACACAATAGAAACGAATACAAGAAACAACATACATGGGAGAAAAAGAAGAAACATACATATTTTATAAAGGAAAGACAGTTGAAGCGCTACAAAATGTTTATATATATGTATATAACTATAAGAAATAAATGACTGTTTTAAAACCAAATGAAGTAACGTACAGCAATATGTATAATAAAATAAAAACATTGATATTTTAACGCACACATTCAAATGATACGCCAATTGTATGAATTACGTGACGTAGAGAAAGTTACGAATTGTGCGAATTTATTTTTGAACATTAGTAACATTAACATCCGATGCACAACCTAAATTGGCATGGGCTGAAATATATAAAGTTTTGATTTTATCAAATTCATCACTGTGGAGAGATCTGGTGAAGACATTTTATATTAATTCAAATATTTATTTTAAATAGAGTCACTATTATTTCAATTTCTCCCAAAAACGTTTGTCAATCGTAGAAGGTTCAATTTGCAATGAATGGTTCTTACCTAATCTGTCCAGCCAGTAGTGGGTTGATGGCATACAACCAATCGTGCACCTCCTTATCGCCGAGGGTCTGCAGGAGGTATCCTCGCTCCTTGCTCACAACGCTGCGGATGGCAACTTGTTATAGTGTCATAAATTTTCTTAGCTTATTTAGCGTTCCAAACGTATGAAACACACTAGGAAGTCCTTTTTTATTGTTTAATGTGAAAAGGGCGAAAGGCCCGCTTTACGCTCAAGCCTTACTTACGTATAGAGTAAGCGGCACTAGGGTTGCCAATTACACTATAATGTACACTATTGAAATTGGTCTGCGTAAAATATGTACTGTTGAGTAACATTTTACTTAACATAATCATTTGAGATCGGTGTTATCATCACCCAAACTATTTTTTAGATATTATCGGAGGCCAAGTACATCCCTAATGAGTGATTTGAACTGGTAGGATGCCCATCTCTAAAAGAGTAGGCTTCCAGACACTCGTAACCTACGAAAGGCGAAAGCATTAACAGCTATAAGGCTTTTCGCCTTTTTCTGTGTTTGCATGTCATATATTTTATGTTATGTACACAGATAGTATATGGGCATAGTCTACCACGCGACCCCACTGCGTATTGGCGGACTTTACATATCTTCGAGATATCTTTTTGTTATAATTTCGAAACTGAGCAGATTTCCTCACGATGTTGCTATCACCGATGAGAACGTGACGAGTAAGCAATTAAAATAAACAACTTCATTGGTGCCGGGCACCGGGATTTGAACAGATTGCTCGAGCGTATTGGATTAAAAGCGCTCGGTCACTGACCTATTAATGCAACAGGAATGAATGAATGAGTGAATGAATGAAAAGATGCTTTGAACGTGCCGGTATACCTGAAGGTGTTGGGCATGCGGACCATCTGCTCCTGGTCCTCTGAGTACTCGACGTGCGCGTTGGCGAGGTTGATGAGAGCGCGCTCAATCGGATCGCGCTCGTCGCGGTAGATGAATACGTAAGGCCGGCGCACCACCTGCGGGAGACGCAATATTTTTACATAGCACGCGCGCGAATCTTAGTCTTAGAAAGTATTGCCGTCTCGTTCGCGCCGCAGTTTAAATAGCTCTCTCTCCGCGTAGCTCGCCGTACAAGTTGGTTGCAATTAAAAGCGCCGTTGTCATTTGGGGTCTTAAAACATAGATTTTTCTTTATAAATGTAACGCTAAATACAGAAATTTCTATACCCTTTTTTACCTTATTGCAAGATGGTGTGAAAAACCTGAACAAATTGAAACCTCTATGTGAAATATTACATGTAAATATGTTTTAAAAAAATATTACCGCTATGCGCCTAGTGAAAGGTCAACTAATAATGTTTTATGTAATTGTTTATAATTTGCCTTTTATTTCTGCACCATTTCATCAGTAAGATGAGTGAATAGTAAAAAGACACATTTAACTTGTGCTAACTATCGTACTTTCGCGAACGACTAAAGGGCGAGGGCTCACCAGCCAGCACTTTTACCGCTGATGACGACCGAACGGTGAACGAACAACGCTAAGTGAACGGCTAGCGACAAAGATGCTAACACCATCCAGCTGAATGGTGAATGAACGACTTTAAGTGAACAGTGAATGAACGACGCCGAGTGAACAGTGAATGAACGACGCCGAGTGAACGTCGGGTGTGAGAAGAAAAGCGAGGGGTCCCACCGAATGATATTATACACAAATCCTATCTCTCCGTCCGCGTTAGTACCACGACCTCACAGAAGACCGGCGTGAAGTAGAAGTGTTACACTTCACTGGGCAGCCTGGGCCCACTTTATTAAAAGGTAGCAACGCATCTGCGACCCTATGGGTGTTGCAATGTTCATGGGCGGCGGTTTACACTTAGTTGCAAATGTATTATCACTTAACACCAGATGAACCGCCAGCTCGTTTGCCACTTACTCGCATAAAAAAATATTAATAGACAATGAATATCGGGCCTCACCAGCCAGCGCTTCTTCCAGCCGTGCGTGCCGTGCTGCAGCACGTTGAGGTAGCCGCGGCGCGCCACGGCGGCCGACACGCGCACCTCCTCGCAGTCGGGCACGAAGAGCGCCCCGCCCCCGCCGCCGCCCGCGCCCCCCCACGCCGCCACCTGCCGCTCCAGCAGCGCGCGCTCCGGCGAGCACAGCCTGCGGCACGGGCACATCACTATGCGACGCCTCGGCTACCGACTGCACGTGTGTGTACTTTGCAACGTCAGGGCTACCAACTGCACGTATGCGTACTGTGCAACGTCAGGGCTACTAACTGCACGTGTGTGTGTGTACTTTGCAAAGTCAGGATTACCAACTGCACGTGTGTATGTGTTACCAGTAGCGCGCGCTCCGGCGAGCACGGGCACATCAGCGACGCCAGGGCTTCCGACCGTCAGCCCTATAGTCCTGGGTCATAGAATAGGGCTAAGGTAGCCCCTGCCTTAAAAGTTGTAGAAAAATTACAAAAGGATTGTCGCCGTTGCGGGAATTGAACAAACGTCTTCGGCATTCGCGGCCTGACGCCTTTGCCAACTCAAGTATAACGTTATTTTTATTTATCAATGTGTAGTGCTCGCCTTAATACATCCTTTTAAAGAGGGCAACTTAAGGCAACTTATCTACTAGCAGGTGGTATATTTCGTTTATAGAACGAACGACAGAAAAGGTCAATAAAAAGAGACGCACGTTTACAAATCTCGGTAGCTTTGTAGGTGTAGAGATATCCATTAAACATACGCGCCAAGTACTCCTTCTGCCGTTTCTTTTTGTGCAAATAATATATTAATAAACCTCATTATCAGAGGGCTTACATGTCCTTTCATCGGTGTTGGTACCGGGATTTGAACTTTAGTCGCTGGAGTATATTGAATTAAAAGCGATATACCCGGATACTGAGTTATCACGGCTAACTTTGACTATAACAAGACAATACAGCGCCGATCAAAGTGCTTTCTAATATTGTATCACTTACTCGAAACTGCTAGCGCTGTGTATGGATGACAGGAGGCTGGGAGTAGAAATATCTGCAGAGACCCCCTCGTCGACGGGAGTAGACGGAGAGACGGCGGCTTCCACTTCCTTGCCGCTCGATCCTATCCGTCCTGGAATTTAACATTAACCCTATAATATGTTACTTGACAAAACAAGCGAAAGGATGAAAGAAAAATAAAATTTAGATAAATGCCGGTTTATTAACACAATTTCTGAGGTGATTTATTCGTTGCTGACAATTGTAATTTGTAAGGTGGCTCTGATCTTGGGGTTTGAGAAATATTTGATGACACTTCATATTCTTTTAACAATATTGTTTTTTTTTTTTATTTGTTATTTCAAAAGTGTAACGATAAATCGCCTACATTTACACCCCGTTGAAAATAAGAATTTATTGCACGTCCAACCCCAAACGGCAACTGATAATAAAACTTCAACATACTTCCCTTATGTCGATAAATACACATTATAGATGCAAAAAAACTCAGGCACAAAACTATGTTCGTCGCATTGCATCTCAAATAAAGAAGAAAATAAATGTTGGTTCCTATAGAGAGGTAAAGGATGGGGCTGTGAACAGAGAAGGATGGAGGGTTTTACACAGCTGAACTACTGTGATGCTGCACCGACAAGAGCCTAGCTCTCAAATCGAAGAGGAAGTGGGGTTCGAACCCACAGCTCGCGGCGCGCCACCTGCGCCGATAGGTCTCCGCGGAGTGAAGAGGCACGCAGAGGTTTAACGGTGGTAGGGCCACGCAGCAGCCTCGGCTGTTGCACGAATGGGCAGGCCCGTCCGGGTAAGTACCACGACCTCACAGAAGACCGGCGTAAAGTGGAACTATGACAAATACTTTCGCGTTTTGTCTGGTGAGTGAGATAGCCGGAGCCCAATTTTCCAAAGGTTATCAACGCATCTGTAACCCTCGGGTGTGGCAGATGTCCATGGGCGGCGGTATTCACTTAACATCAGGTGAACCGTCCGCTCGTTTGACAACTTTTCGCATAAAAAAAAAGAGGCCACCGACCCTGTATGAGCCTGATGTACTTGGCGGCGAGGTCCCGCTCGCGCTGCGACATCTCCCACGGCTCGTACACGGAGTCGTCGCGGGGCGGCGCCGCGTGCGCGCACTCGCCCGCCGCCTTCGCCGCCATGTTGCACACCTCCTGTCGTGCATAGCATCTTTTTCTTTTCAACCGACCTCGAAAAAGAAGGAGGTCTCTCAGCTCGACCGTGTGCATTTTTTTTTATGTGTTCGCCCCGATATCTTCGTCGTATATGAACCGATTTCGATGGTTATTTTTTTGTTGGATAGGAGAAAACCCAAGGGTGGTACCATGATAACCCGGATCTGATGATGGCATCCCAGAGAAATCGAGGGCAGTCCTCAAATGTTATAGGTATTAACAATATTTTTTTAGTTTCCGGTTTGAAGTAGGTTTGTTTTTGTTAAAAAATTACTTGACGACCGTGGAATGTTTGTTAAGTTTTTAAACACAAATTACCCACGTATCATCTTGCATACACTTTTAAATTTTGGAATATATTAATTTTATTATACCTTAGATAACACTTTAAATAATAATGATTATTATTCATCAATAATAGCTATATACAAATTCATACATTAAAACTTTCATGCAACTATATTTTTTCAGCGTTTTTTTTTTTCCAACTTATTTTTAAATGAAAACAAAAGGATAAACTCGCTTAACGGGCCAAGCGCATACATAATCGCAACGGATGATCGCAAACCGTACAACTCAACCATAACAGTAACTTCACGAACTCACGCAATAAACAGATACCAAACCTGAGCACATGGCTCTACCCAACGAGGGCAGTATCAAGGTCGTGCAATCTGTCTATCTGAGCTCTGAGTTCGATGAGCTCTAATAGGTACGGATCACAACCAATAACATCAACAGTCATATTGACATCAAAAGAAATGGCGCTATTCAATTCGAAGGGTAAACAATATATCCCAAATAAACGCACGCATGAGCACATGGCCCTACCCAACTAGGCCCGCATCGAGCTCATGAAATCTATCCCGAGCTATGAGCTCGATGAGCTTTAAGAAATATAGAGCTATGAGTCATACAAAGAAATGAGTTACTGCATTCGAACCTTCTCGGTCTTGGTGAAATCGTTGGGCGCGACGGTGTTCTCGTGGCCGTGGCGCAGACGCTCGCGCAGCGCGAGGAAGTGACGCGTGCGCCCCACCTGCTCCAGGCGGGTCATCTTCTCCAACTCCCACTGCGTTCAAATTATACTTCAGTGAAGACACACTTTTAAAGGTTGCCAACGCATCTGCAAGCCATCGGGTGTTGTATATGTTCATGGGCGGCGTTACTCACTTAACATCGGGTGAACCGCCTGCGCGCTTGACAACTTTTCACATATGAAATGACGGTGTCTTAAATTAAGGCGTTCTCTAAATAAACATTAACCGACACCGTGCAGACAAAACGTTAATGTATCAACGAAATCGAACATTAACAATGATTAATAAAAATGTTGATATAAATAATAACCTCAAAATAATGAAACTGTAATATCTGCTAATGTTACTTTAAAAAAATCCCAAACATATAAACATTTTAGCTGTAAAAATAATAATTATAATTTAGTATAATTTACTGTAATATAAACCAGCCACAAACGATTTCATAGACTCAGAACTAGAAAAATGTTCTTGTCATTCAAAGTTAAAATTTCTTTATTCAAGATAGGCTTATTTTAAACTCTTATTGAACATCAAAAACTACCACCGTTTCACTAAACTAGACCTGCGAGAGAAGAACCGCCAAGAAAAACTGCGGTCATATGTATGTATTTTTTTTATAAATTATTTAAGTATATACACATAAGTATTTTAGTATAATTTAGCAGGAGCTAGGGGACTTGCTAGTGCAGAGCAATTCAGACTACAATATTACTTTCTAATGTGTAATTCTAACATTATTTTGAGTTTGAAAGTTTAACCAAATTTATTCTTTTATCCGTTGACGTATATCCGAAACAAAGGATAAGCGATTAAAATAAAATTATGTTTGAAGCGATGATTCCCTTGTAAATGAAAATGGCTGATTAATAAACCAGTGAAGTAAATATTTAAAGATAAAAATATTGAAATGATAATGTGTTCTTATTCATGTATGTTATAAAAAATTGCATATTATTGAATATATATAATAAACATTTGATAAAATTTGTTTTTTGATAATCTTATCATAATGGATTTTAACTTTATTTTAAGACATAACATATTTTGAACAAGAACTGGTCTGACGATATAAAGCATTATATTTATTATGTAAGGTTAAATAAATTATTTAAATTGGAAAGAAATAAGCATGTTTAATCATAGATATACATAAAATACATTTGAAAATAGAATAAGTATAATTGATTATAAGTCTGTCCACTGGTTATTTTCATTGGTGATGACGATGATGAACAGAATAGATCATATTTGTATTCGTAATAACAAACTCATCATCATGATCATTCATGTGTTGTAATTTTATTGTTCCTGGAGTTAAAAATTGCAAAAAAACTAGATAATTTAAACGTGAGGTGTCATTACTCGATATATGGGCTACTTAAGCTGCTGTGGACAGACTACGCGACGGTGTGACGTTTGAAGTACACAAATCAGCTTTCGGTAGCTATTTAGTATGGATATGACGTAACACATTTAATGAATGATTGTCGATTGCGGCACCGCACATACTAAATAGCTAGGGAAACATTTGTGGACCTGCGCTCTATCGACAACGTCCAACGGCCAATCATAGACGAGCTTGCGCACGATACGCTTCTTCTGGCGAGGAGAAATAAAATGTCATATAATTGTATATAGCTTTGTGGTACTTAAGCATTAGCTGCGTAGACTGTGGTCATTAGTGTTTTGCCGTGCTGAGCTTTTTGTAAGAAGATTAAATTGTGTCTATATTACTAGAATCGTATAGATATTCATTGGGAAAACATTGTGTATTTCTCATTTTATTTTTTTCCATAAGGAGATATTTTGTACATTTTTACTAGTTATAATGTAACTAGTAGTTTAAACTAATTGTTTAATGTTTAGTTGGTTGAAGGCTGTGTAAGCCTTCAACCAACTAATTCAGCACAGGCGTTCTGTTAAAAAGTTCACTAAAATTAATAGTTTAAAACTCGACCTCTTAATAAAAGATATAGAAATTTAAATCAATACAACTGTCATCTATGATAAAACAATTGACTACTGGCCAGTGTTGAATTGAGATAAGTGTTCTTTTTTATTTGTCAGTATACTCTATCTTTTCGGCCAGTGTAAAATGGAGTTACTATTTTTTTTGTATTTGTCAGTATACTCTATCTTTTCGGCCAGTGTCGAATGGAGTTACTGTTTTTTTTATTCGTCAGTACACTCTATCTTTTCGGCCAGTGTCGAATGGAATTAGTGTTTGTTTTCTTTTGCATTTTTTAGTACACTCTGTGTCGAAACAGTGCGACAAGGCCGTCGCGGCGGCGCGTAGGCACCTGGTGGTCGAAGATGAGCGAGTCGCCGCGCGGCCTCCAGCCGTGCAGGTTCTCCTCGCCGCGCACGTAAGTGCCGCTGGTGTCCAGCACCCGCCTCTGACGGCGCTGGACTCCTGCGAGACAGAACGAAGGAGGAACTCCATCAGCAGATGCCAATAGAACGAAGGTGAACGAATAGAAACACATGTGTTATCTCCACAGTACATAAAAACTAATTTCAGTTTTCTGTGTCTTTTTCAGTGTTGATGTTTACGCGTTGATCGTCTTAAGTTATTTCCTGTATTTTTGCACTTAATACCGTATATTTGCTATCTGCGTTGATGTCTGCGTGAATATTTTCGATACAATAATAAAAATATCTAGAAGATGTGTGACCACCGATCCGCAGTGGGGTCGCGTAATGGAGGATAGATAGAGGCTTTTGCAGAGCAGTGCGTAATCTATCGGCCGGCACTTTACTTTTCAACCGACTTTAAAAAAGAGGATGAGAGGAGGTTCTTAATTCAACTGTATTTTTTGTTGTTTGTTACCTCAGAACGTTCGACTGAGTGACCCGACTTCGATGACTCTTTTTTTTGTTTATTTGAAAGCCGGTGCTTCCCACGTGGTCCCATATTAAATTCATCGGTATTGGATCTTGGGCTCTAGAGTTACATAGGGAACTCGTAAAAATGATTGTAAAATGAATAGAGAGCGAGGTATTCGAAGTCGGTTTTGTTCTTCGGTAATGAAAAAGTTGACTTGTATGGGATACGCTTGTATGGGATACCCTTGTATTGGATACCATTGTATGGGATACTCTTGTATGGGATACTCTTGCATGGGCTACACTTGTATGGGATACCCTTGTATGGGATACTCTTGCATGGGATATTCTTGCATGGGACACTCTTGTATGAGATACCCTTGTATGAGATACCCTTGTATGAGATACCCTTGTATGGGATACCCTTGTATGGGATACCCTTGTATGGGATACCCTTGTATGGGATACTCGTGACGTAGCTGACGGTGGGCGCTCACCCGGCTCGAGGGCGCGGTGCAGGCTGAGCTCGTAGACGCCGGTGAGGTGGTCCGCGCGGGCGGAGCGCGAGCCGAACAGGGCGCGGCGCAGCGAGCGCCCCGACCGCTCGCGCCCCACCACCACCACGGACAGGTCCTTGGTCACGATGGCCGGACGGCCGCAGTTCTCCACCTTAAGTGGAGGAGGGGATTTAAATTACATCTCGAGCACTGATTGGTACGAAAAATGTTATCCTAATTGGAATCATTCCTGAAAATGGGAAGTCGTGCCTCTTCGATTGTACGTAAACGAATAATTCTAAGCATGATGTAGGGTGAAACTCTTATGATTTTATGTTCGTGTCAGTTTATTTAATATATGTATGACTGTAAACTGCACAGTAAAGTAAATAAAACGAAAAAGGTTAAAAAAAATTCGACTACTAAAAAGTTAAATGTACAAAGTAGTTCAATGATTAGCAATCAGTCTCACCTCCAGATACGCGCTGAGTGTAATGTAGACGACCTCCCCGTTCGCGCTGACCCTGTTCAGCAAGGGAGAACCGTGCAGGCTGCTGTCCCATGCCGCCTCAAACCTGGAACAAGCAAGACTAAGGTGGAATAAACGTAAAAATAGTAATGTAACAGCCTGCTGTAACAGCATGACCCACTGCTGGGCAAAGGCCTCCGCTGTACTGAGAGCATCAGGGCATACGACACGCAACCAGCGGATTGGCAGACTTAACGTATCTTCGAAATATTTTTTTTATATGTTGCCTCACGATGTTTTCCTTCATCGCCGAGCAGATGATAAGTCGACACTTAAAATTAACAATATCATTGGTGCCGTTACCGAGTAAATGGAATGAAAGGGCGTTCGCCTTTCATTCAATTATTCGAAATATCACGGGTATAGTGATGCTGAGTTATTAGATTTGTATTAGTTATTAGATTGTTGAAGGCCAATTTATCCATCGTCGGGCTGACTGGGTACACAAGTTGGTGCCATTTACACCCAGCGATCGTTACCTGAAGACGGCACGGTCGTCCAGCGCCGGCCTCTCTCCTGGGAACAGCCCCAATGACAGGGCACCATCCTCGTCGCCGTCGTTCGAGTCCTCGTTCGGCTCGGGCGTGTTGCGGATGCGGCCTGCGGGTCAATCGCGTCCAATCGAAATTGTTCCTTTACGTCCTGGGCTTAAGGTGTCAAGTCCCGTGCAGCTGTATTTCATTATTTCAGACCAGACCATTTGACCAAATCACCCGCGCAGAAGTATAATACTTTCACTTCACGCCAGTCTTCTGTGATGCCGTGGTACTTCCCCGGCCGTACCAACCCATTCGAGTGCCAACCCAAGCAAGTGGTTGGAACCACAGCTTAACTTAGCACTATCGAGCAAAATGAGACAAATATTGTCTAATTTTATAAAGGCGAAAGTTTGGATGTATGGATGGATGTTTGTTACTATTTCACGCAAATACTACTGAATGTCTTTTAATGTTTTTTTTTTTAATTTTACCATTATATAGCTTATACATCAGAATAACACATAGGCTATAATTTAAACACATATTTTTATGTATATCTGTCTTTCTTTCTGAATGTTACGCCATCAGCCTATTCTACGCAGAAGTAGTTGCGGGCAGCGGCTAATATTGGGTAACTTCTCGTTTGACACTTGAAAAATTTATAGTCCACTGTTAGCGAATACGTCACGTACACATAAATAATCCTCCAGACATGTAGGCATGCAATTATTTATATCACGTGACATACGTATGGAAAAGTGAAAATTAGAAATGATTATACGGAACGGTGAACAATAGTCAGCGGCGGCAACTGACCAACGACGAGCTCGCGCACGTCGCTCCACTGCAGGTCGGCGGAGGGCTCGTGCAGGATCGTGATGCGGATGCGCCGCTGGATGCCCTGGTGCAGCACGAACAGCCCGCGACACGGCAGCTCGTCGCTATGCTCCACCACCTGCTGGCGGCGCGGCTAGTTAGGTGGCCGTCACTCTTCCACGGTCCGCTTTTGCGTTGTATTAATACCCCCCCCCCCCGACTTCCCGCTCCCTCCTCACGCTACCTCTCCCATGAGACGACCACTCGACATTTGATGAATTTGCTTCGTTAATTCCAACCCTACCCCCTCTCCGGCCAGACCACCGCTAACGGCTGTGTAGTAGTAGACTGTTTGCGTTTGCTTCGCAATCCCCCACAACATACACTCGACCAGGATTTTATTGTCACAACTGGCCTCTTTCACCCTCATCGTCATTATCAATTCAACCTGTTTGAGTCCACTGCTGAAAATAGGCCCAGACCACGAGCAGGCACAATCCTGAGCTATACTTGCATCCATCGACTTCCCGCACGCTTGCACAGCTCGTCACTCCATCTAGTGGGAGATCATCTACTACGATTTCCATTACGAAACTGCGACTAGAGAACGCCGTCTCACGAGAGGCCCATTTCGTTTTGAGGTTTTTCCAAAGGTCATTGAAACTTATTTTTTTCTTTTTTATATCAAAAGTTGACAAGCGAAATAACGGTTCAAGTGATTACCACTATCTACAACATGTTCATGAAGAGTGGAACGCAGACGCATTGCCAAATATAAAATAAAGTACTCCCTAGATACCTCACTAATCAGACGAAACATGCAAGCATGATACTTCAAATTCACGACAATTGAGCCCGCTAATTGTTACTTCTCCGGACGGACCAGCCCATTGGTGCAACAGCCAAACGCTGCTGCGTCGCCGTGCCACACTTCAATCCCATCAAAGGGCGGTGCCACATAATGAACGAGTCACACACCGGCCCATCGCCAACGAAAGCGGGGGTGGCCCTACTCACGGCCGGCACGTAGTCGCCGCTGGGCGCGAGCTCGCAGATCTCGAACCAGACGAGCAGGTCGTGCTTGGAGTGCAGGTGCGAGGAGCAGCAGGGCGGCGCCACGCTGGCCGCGCCCCACTTGGGGCTGCGCACCGGCGCCGAGATCGGGATCGAGGGCGGCAGCATGCGGCGAGGGGGGGTGCGCCCCGCCACCGGCCCGTCCTGCTTCGCGTCCTGCGGAACAACCTCCTCGCTCTAGGGATGTCCATAGTGAAGAAGTATATCGATATGTCGATTATTATAAAAATACCAATATTGATGTATCCATATTTGAAATAACATTGTTTTTGGTACGCTTTTCGATATTGAATATTTTGTATCGATATATTGGATCCAAATATATTGGCTAAAATAAGGATATATCGATACTTTTTCGACATCCCTAGAGTCAACGACATCCAATCCGCCATGAGGACACGAGCTTTTCCTCTCGTCAGCTGCGACCATTTTAAGCTTTCCAGTGCCTAAGTTTATTATGATCAATTTTGCAGCGCACGTTAAAATATACACCTTTTCTACAAGTCCGCCTTGATCTTTTAAAAATATCACTTCAACAACTGCTACAGCGTCGACTTGACGTTGACAAGCTGCAAAGTTCTATTCCCTATCAGCTTTCATTTCATTGGTGAAATCATCTTGTTAGCTGGATATCAAAAGTTTATAGATTTATCGTATTAATTTACCTTGTGCAGGGGATGTTGCTGGTAATGGCCGAACACTTCGAATACGATCGGTTGGGTCTTTATGTATTCCACGAAGGATTTAGTCACTGGTACAGTAATCTGTTAACAAAAAGAATTATAAAAAAATGATAAGTGAAATCAAAATAAAATGTGAATGATGTGAACTTAAGCGTTAGTAAGACGATACATCGTAAAACATACATTTTGTACGTGGTAGAATCCGAGGGGTGTATTCTTGCCGGTGTTCTTGACGGGTTCCGTAGAGAACGCGTCCTCGTTGCGGTGTAGGAAACTGTAACAACAATAAAACTTTCAAATATTAAAATCCTTGCGTTCTGAAACCACCAATCAAAATAATACGTCAAATATGTGTTACCAATAATTATTTAATAGATATCTAATATTACAAGGATAAAGTGATAGTACGACTGTACATAAACGGTTTTTACGAGAAGGTTACTACGGTTACCCAACCGGTAAGTTAACCGTCGCCATTAACACCCTTGGTTTAATTTTTATTATCATCTAACTGCAGTAGGTCACAGTAAAAATCTTCTTTACCAATAATTTATGTTTTCACATAGTTTATTCAAACGAATCTCTAAGACCTTTCATATTTAAAGCCTCCAATATTCGAGAAAAAAATCTTTCCCCCTCTACTTATGGGGATTAAGTGCAGCTTCCTTGGTCGCATGACCGCGAAACTGCTGAAGTTTCCGCGAGCTGCATTCAGCGCAGCGAACCTAGACTTTTCGTGCATTCGTTCACTCATTCATCGTTCTTGTGAAACTTCGTTGCTCACAGGCCCGCGGAACTGCTAAAGTTTCCGCGAGCTGTATTCAGCGCAGCGAACCTAGCCTTTTTGTAAATTCATTCACTCATTCATCGTTCTTGTGAAGATTCGTTGCTCACAGGCCCGCGGAACTGCTAAAGTTTCCGCGAGCTGCATTCAGCGCAGCGAACCTAGCCTTTTCGTAAATTCATTCACTCATTCATCGTTCTTGTGAAGATTCGTTGCCCACAGGCCGGCGAAACTGCTGATGTTTCCGCGAGCTGCATTCAGCGCAGCGAACCTAGACTTTTCGTTCATTCGTTCACTCATTCATCGTTCTTGTGAAGTTCCGTTGCTCACAGGCCCGCGGAACTGCTAAAGTTTTCGCGAGCTGCATTCAGCGCAACGAACCTAGCCTTTCGAACATTCGTTCACTCATTAATCGTTCTCGTGAAGCTTCGTTGCTCACAGGCCCACGAAACTTTAGCAGTTTCTGCGGGCTTCATTCAGCGCAGCGAACCTAGACTTTACACGACTTTACATTACTCGTTCATCGTTCACTCGTTCGCTCGCTCGCGCTCACTTGAACTGGCAGAAGACGTCCGCGTAGTCTGTGGAGACGCTGTGCGCCTGCAGCACGGTCACGCGGAAGGTGAACTCGCGGCCGAGCGTGAGGTGCTCGGGCAGCTCCTCCTCCTTCAGCTCGGAGGCGAGCGAGCTGTCGCCGCGGCCGCTGTCCGCGTCGCACTCGCCCACCGCCAGCTCTGCGGAATTACAGCGCGAATGAATAAAGCCACGCGCAATTGAACGGAGTCGTAACGACAGTGAATCTTAAAGCCGTTTTATCAATCAGGGCCGTATTTAGAGGTCTGGAGGCCTCGGGGTTACGAAAGAGTGGAGGTCCGTTGGCCCCAAATTATTTTCCAAATAAATTGAACATTTTTTTTCAGTCGAGTTTTCCAATAAATAATTTATTGTGAAACCAAGTATTTTATGATTTAAAGAACATAATCTCTATTGTGTCTCTATTGTGGGGGCCCCGGGGCTGTAGCCCTGGTTGCCCTCCCCTAAATCCGGCCCTGCTTGCCGATAAAATAACTAACTTTGTACATAGCATTAAAAAAGAAAGATAACGAGGCTACAAAGTCTCTTTCCGGTTCTCCTTTTTCTATTTCTATTTGAAGTTCGATAAGAGTTTGAACCAAGCCTATTCTGAATAAAGAAATATTATTGTCACTGTACGGTGCAGCGGCCCGGATGGCCGCTCGTGACCACTTCCAGCGTCACCTTCGATCTTGATGTTGGAGTCGGGCACGTCCGCGATGCGCTCCTCCAGGTTGAGCGCGTTGTTCTTCTCTATTGCGGAGAGCGCCTTGAGGCGGGACCTGGCCGGCGCCGCGTCGTCGTCGAAGCAGATCTTGGCCGACTGCTTCACGCCGGCCGCCAGCTCGGCGTTGTCTGCGTTAACCGGAGGTTAAGCGATCGACTCTTATGTCGACCATAGACACAATGGAGTTCCAAAGGATTGGTAAATTATTTTTATATCAACAAAAAATTGTAAACTGTTGTAAAGTTCTCTTATTATCTTATCCTTTAAACGAGCAATTCTTGTATATATATATTCGGAATCTCGGAAACGGCTCCAGCGATTTTCATGAAATTTAGTATGTGCGTAGATTCGGGGGTGAAAAATCGATCTAGGTAGGTTTCATTTTTAGAAAATGTCCTTTTATCCCTGTTTTCAGGGAATGAAAAATATCATTCGAATATGACGGTAAATTTTGCCGCAATAGAAAATGTTATAATAGCTCGGTCGGTAATCGGGCGGCCCCAAAACAGACGGCCGTGGTTCGTGTCACGATCATTTATATACTCTTTTTTTTTTTACTTTTTTTTTCGATTTCAGATCATTGCTTTCTTTATTTTTTATTTTTTGTTGATCCAGATGATTTTCTTATTTTTTTTTTCCTTTTTTTAAAGTTTGTTTCTTTTGTGAAAAACACCAGTTCATATTTTCTTATTATTACGTCGGTAAGGTCGAAACATATTATGCATATTTCATTACTTAGTAATTTGTATCTAAATGTAATTTCGAAAATACAAGATTTACCAAAATAAAAAACAAACCGAGCAAAGCTCGGTCCTCCGGGTACTTATTAATAACGTCTTCGGATTTCTCCATACTGAACTCATCAAAAGTTATACCGCTATTTTTGTACAATTTTTGAATAATTCTATATTACACCTTTTATAGTTTAACGTATTTGGAATTTCTCCATACAGGCAATTCATCATTAGTTATATCGTCATTATTTTCCAGAAATTACTCCGTTGTCAATCATAGAGTAAAAATTACAGTCCCGTCAACATGACGTTTCGTAGGACCAATATTAATGTTGGTAGACAAAGTACCACCATGTTACCATGATAAGTTACTTTATTTTTTTCTGCGTATATAAAAAAAAATATTTAAAAAAACAACAATGTTTACAATTGGGTACTAGATCTCTTTTATCTCATAGTCTCAGCATGTTAATATGACTGTTACACGTAGTAAAAAATAGGGATTATTCATATAGGTACACTATTTTATAAATAAAGTACCGAATGATTACATTTACAATAATTACAATAATTACCCCCAGGGTTGACTGGAAGAGAATGCTTATTAGCATTAAGTTTTGAATAAGTTTAGCGAAGTTTTGTTTCGCCTTATGTTGGGGTGTAAACAATAAATTTCTAAATATATTAATAATTATTATAAACCGCAATAAAGTAGTTCCTTTAACAACCTATCTACCTTTTGTGTAAATCGCTTTTTATATTTCGAAATTAAAAAATATTAAATATGGCGTCGTCACTCACTCTTTTCGGCGTCGATGACCGCCTGCACGGCTACACGTAGGTAGCCCTTCACGTCTCCTTTCTCATTCACTATAGCGACCTTGTGAATGAGGGGAACCGGATACAGGAGATTCGACAGGTAAACGAAGCTCCTGTTAAGGCAAAAAAAATCATTTAAGACCCTTGTGTACGAGCACGGTGGAACCAACTCCATTCTTACTGACAGCACACATTCAACAATAAATACTCCACAATTCAAATATCGTCGGGGGTAAAGTTCTCAGGCCCAAATTCGAGGATCCATTGGCGATAACCATGCATTTTCACACTCTATTAGTTAAGGTTCAATATAGCTCTCCGGGTTCCATGATACAAGATACAAGATTATCTTAAAAATAGACGATCGATATTTATTTAGCTTAATTCAGAATTCAGGGTAAAGTAGAGTAAACTGTTTTATATAAAAAAAAATATTGGTCGTTATTTTTTAATGGGTAAAAAATATATCAATGTCCTCCAGCATGGTACCTATACGTGATCTCGTTAAAACTGTCAGTTACCAGTTACACTGAATGAACGAACGAGTGAACAGGATACTGAACGAATGAGTGAATGAACGGCGGAGAGTACACACCGTCCGACCATACGGAACCACGGGAAACGATCGTAGAAGGGATCACCGCCGGTGACCGACTCGATGTTGTGATCCGGTGACGTGGGGGAGAGCTCCGCCTCGTTGTGGTACATTTCGCGCATCAGCTCCAGCCTTTGCCTGTTGATAACGAACCGCTTAGTAGCCGAGCAAAGTATAGTACATCCGTCCATCGTTGCACTTTCAGAGTGAGCATAAATTGAAGCCCTCACTTGTAAAAAGTGCACAGGACACTAACTAAAGATACGCAATGCTCCTACAGTAAACAGTAACAATGCATGCATCAAGCTATTTACGCGTCGAAACTAAAAAAAAATACATTTACAAACGGAGTGCGAATTAAAGTTAATCATTAAAATGTTAGATTAAGTATGACATAGAAATAGATATCTAACGCAGTCCCTTTAAGCGTTTACTTAAATGTATTATGAAAACGCAGCGAACAGTAAGCCTTTTGCTCGTGTACAAAAATACAACAAAAACAATAAATACGTAAAGTATTTACCATTATCATTGAACAGTTCTCACACAATAACCTATTTTATTATAAACAACACAGCAAAAGGCAAGGCACACAGACATAAAAATTAAATATATTACAATGGGTGTAACAAAATTATAAGAATTGAATATTTTTTCCGATAAACATAAAAAAAGGCAAAAAAATATAAGACAAACCGATTAAGACTTTAGATGGATGGAAGGTACAGATTTACCTATTAGATCCATTGCATTTAATGATTATTATTTTAATCAAATGTCTTTTAAAACTGGAAGTTTTAATAATACTACAATCCAAACATTTTACTATGCATGTACCCGTAGCTAGTTCCATTACGAAAGTTAAAATCTCAAAAAAAAAATCCCCCACAACTTAAGCCCCGCATTTGGAACTTGATATAGGTATGTATCGGTGAATTGAAATTTCAATACTGTTATTAGAAAATTTCGACCAAGTATAGGCGGAAGCGTGTTTTGCAAAACAAACTAAGCGACATCGCCTGTTTTACTTGAAAATACATCAATAATATCGACCTAGTGCTAGTGGGTAGAAACAAAACAGACCGTTGAGACAATATGCGGAAACAAAACACATAAACGTCACTGATTCCAGAATCGGATTTGTCTCGCTAGATTTCCGGACCGTTCGCGGACGACGTGCGATATTGTGTCGTCTCACCTAGAAAGTGACCTACGTTCGAGCTATAGTGGCGTGCTTTCGGCTTCGTAGGGTGGGCTGGTTTGTTTCTCCCGGCGGCACAAACCTCGAGGGCAGCAGGTTGGCTAGCGACAGGCGCGTCTGCTGCGCGCAGGCGGATATGCACTGCAGTATGTCGGGCTGGGTCGCCGGGGCGGAGCCCTGGGCCTGCGCCTCCGGCGAGGGGAGCGCCGGTGCGGACGGCGACACATCCTCTTCCTCATCACCGCACGCACTCTCGTTCATGTTGTATATCTGACGCATTAGCTCCAGGCGGTGGCTACGGACAACATACCGCCATGTAGCCACACTGCCCGTTTGTTTTTTTTGCCCTTCTGTTTGTTTTTGCCCTCCCTCGCCTAAATTCGTTCGAGATTTTGGCGCGTCCGCTCCGCATTTTGTCTTATCTGTATTCTTTTCGACGACAAATAAATCCTGTGGTTTATTTTTTACCTGTTCATGTCGTACCATTGTTCATTTCAGAGGAATGCCCTTTAGGAAAATACTGCTTAAGCTTAATTGACCTCAACGTCAAAATTGACCTAAATTTTAGTATTCTGTACGAGAACGTGTTTTACTTATGGCTTGAATAACCTATTCAAAAAAAAATAGTTGTGTATAAAATATTTTTATATTAAAAATTCCTTACTTTGTGCTCCACTACTTGTCTTGTCATTGAATATCAAAAATATTACTTCTTTGTGAATTCTGAAATGCGCCTCACAAAAATAATCATAAGACATTGAAAATTGAAACAAAAAAGATATGATCAAAATAATGTTAAAGTATAAATTATAAAAATATTAGAATGGCAATAAACCTATGGCAAGATGTCCGTAATGCTGTACTGAAGAAATAATAACATTAATTTATAGCCCTATCGACTTTTTCTTGTGTATCAAATAGTAAATTATTACGGTCACAAAATAAAAGCAAGCAGCAAATTATATAAGCAATTATATTAAGTAACATGGCGACTATACACATTATAAATAAAATACAACATATTTATAGTTTCAGGTAAATTGTACTTACCATTAATAAAATGCCTATTCTACTAAGACGTTATAAAATGAGATGCAACAAAATGATAAATAAATACTTAATCATAGCTACAGCAAAAATAATTTCTTACAATAAAATAATATATAATCAAAATCATAACGAAACGATTCATAAAAACAATTCGCAACAAAACTCGTTTAAATAATTTTGAAATAAAAATTAAGAATTACTTTATGCGTATAAAAATAAAATAATCGAAAAGCTTTACAAAAAAAAAAACGAATAAATTTAATAAGATTATGCGTTATACCGCTAATAATCCTGTATACAACGCTATTCCATTCTAATGAATTGAGATATTATAACATTTGTTTATCAACTTCCTTCATTAATTTACTATTTATAATTTATTTCTAGGGTGCAACTACATTACCCGTACTACAATAAATTAAAACACTAAACATAATCTAACATTATTCATACCTCTTATAAATATATATAAGTATCTTAGTCTCAGTACATATAGTGTCCAGGCAATAGAATTTAGTTATTAAAAAGAAATAGAGAACCAATCGTTTAATTGAATTGAAATTATTGTTAAAAGAAAAAGTTACTGCCGAGAACAAAACCTATCACTTATAACCTGTGTACAGTTCTATTAAAAATAATATAAACGGGATCAGTATATTAAAATATTGATCTTTTCGACAAAAGATCAAAGGACTATAACAGTTGATAGCTAAACTCAGAAAGTATTTGTAGTCAGTCAACTTCAAGTCTAGTTAACGTAACCACATCAGGAGAACTTCTACTATGTAGATTGAGAAACTCTTTGTGTGTTTCAATATTCTGGCAACCTTAAACGCGTATTTCCACTGGAGGGGAAGGCGAAGAAGAAGAAGAAGAGAAGTAAAGACGGCACGGGATTTTCTATCCGGGGAGTTATCATGACGTATGCTGTCGCACGGACATCGGAATATGGCGCTTATCGCGGGGCGTTAAAGTCGCACTCACAGGAGCTTCTTGAAGATCCAGTAGTGGATTGGGCCGTTCTACGTAAGCGAAAACGGCACGCGATTTCCTAAACGGACAATTGGCATGACGTATGCCGTCGCACGGGCTGTCGGTCATCGGAAAATGGCACTTATCGCGGGGCGTTAAGGTCGCACTCACCGGAGCTTCTCGAAGATGTAGTATGTTGCACCGTTCTACTTAAGTGAAATTGGGACGCGATTTCCTAATCGGGCAGTTGTCACGACGTATGCTGTCGCACGGGGTGTCGGTCATCGGAATATGGCACTTATCGCGGGGCGTTAAGGTCGCACTCACCGGAGCTTCTCGAGGGTCCAGTAGTGGGTCGCGCCGTTCTTCGTGTCGGTGACCTCGACGGCGACGACGGTGGGCGCGCCCGGGCGGTACTCGTCGTCGGCGTCGTCGCGGGGCGCCAGCTCGGCGGGCAGCGGCGAGTACGGGGTGTCAGTCAGCAGCGTGAACTGGAACTGCACCTTCTTGCGCAGCTCCACGGAGATCGCGTTCGCTTCCTGAGACGGTCATGGTTCGCTCGAGACCCGATCAAAGTTCGATCGTGGCTTGAACGTAATCCAGTCAAAGTTCGATCATGGATTGATCGAAATCCAGTCAAAGTTCGATCGTAGTTTGATCATAATCCAGCCAAAGTTCGATCGAGCTTTAATCACGGGTCGATTATGTTCAAAATTTGACCTAATACATTACATTATATGCAATCTTCAGATTGCAACCTCATCAGTGATCATTAAAATTACTACTTAATGTTAGTTCAAACGGTAAAATTGTTAAACATATAGTCCGTCAATACAAATTTATTGACGTTCTACTGCTCCGCAAGTAGAAAAACAATCGAAAATGAATTCCCCTAATCGTGCAAGAAGTCGTAGTAAACATCGTAACAAGGCGTACAACAAGTCGTACAAGAACACATAAAAGGTTCTTTTATTTATTAAATCCTACGAACCTCGTTGCTGGTCTCTAATAATCCTAACAGGCGCGATATAAATCTCTCATTTCAAGAAACACTTTGAATTTCAAAATTCTAATGTCATCTGTTATCACAGGTATATGAATGAAGGATGTCCCTTTTAATTTATTTATATCTTTAGCCTTCCTTTTGCCCCTACTAATAAATCACCATCAAAATGAAACGAATTTTATGAGGTTCTTCAGAATTACCGGCCAAAAATACTATTACAAAGAGATATCACAGCCTCAAATTATACAAAGACTTTATAAGGAGAATTCAAAGAAAGTTTCCAAATACACAAATACAAAGTATCCGCGGCAAATTTTCAGTCAGTCAATCGTATTTCCAAGAGTTCTTCCTAGCCCTTTGCTTAAAAATACGAGTGCACCGGTAGTTTTGTAATTCTAAAAGTCTGGCCTAACCTACCCTATTAAAGTTGTAGAAAAAATTAGATACGAAAAGTTTTTCGCCGCTGTGGGAATCGAACCGTGCGGAGTCCCCACCCTATGTTTAATACCGACTCCCTGGCCAGTCGTTCGAACATACGAGCTGGCATTCCCAATACCGCCTCCCTAGCCAGTCGCTGGAGCATACGAGCCGGCATTCCTGTGGTTGTCTTACCTTCAGGAAGATCGCGTTGCCCCACAGGTCGTCCCTGAGCGAGGTGAACTGGTGGTATTTCCACTTCCGGAACGCCCACGCGGCCAGCCCCACCTCTCGCGCCGACCAACACTCTGTCTCAAACAGTGGGTTCACTACACGGACCAAACCGACAACGCGTTACCATCGCAAACTCGCATGCATTACGAACAGGAGCATCGACGCAGCCCGGAACCAAAAGCGATCTTGACCATTGTACGCGACGATTACGAAAATACCGTGCATTATAATGTGAAAATACTTTTTGGCAATTATATAATTTGAAGCCTTGCCATTTCTGAGGAAATGAAAATTTTGGAACATAACGATACGTCTGATCTGCAATCGCGATTTATTTCAAAACTGTGCTAACGGCATTATAGGTAATGTGTTATATTTTTTAAACATCCGATAAGACGTTACTTTACATAAATTGTCATTTATATAAAGTAATGACAATTTGAAACTAATTAAATAACATTAATTTTTCAGTAATCAGGTCCGAGCTGCACCCATGTTTATAAACTGTAAAATAAAACAAAAAGGACATGACATTAAAATTTACAATAACGATGCAATTCACAATTTAAAATGAATGTTTTGTGATATATTGAATTTTGTTTCCAGGTGACGTCATGAGTTCTTAAATAATTGTTGAAAACATTTTCAACAGTAGAAGAATTTAAATAAATGAAATTATAAATTTGATGGGATGTTTGCGTAATGTACATATTAGAACGTTACGGGATATCTATTTTTCCATGACATGCTTTTCAACTTCATTCAAATATTTTGCAGTACAGAGAAATCAAAACTATCTTTGATACAATTACGAGTCAAAGAAAAGAGTTTCTAAAACATTCAAGAAAATTAAATTACATCAAGACATTTGTGATCGAGTTTTAAATATATCAATATCACAACGCTTCAAACATGCGCAAACATCTTAGATGATATCTAAACTCGACATGCAACACTATAACAATATTTCTTTGAACCGAAAACAATTTTAGTTTGTAATATTTCTTTAACACAAGAGGACCAAAGTCATAAAGTCGAAGTATAACAATAGATTATTGATAATATTAAGGTTACATCACACCAGAATAAGAAAGAAGGAAGACTAATTTCGTCTAAATCCTTCATAACCAAACCACAACAAAATAAATGTACACTCGTTAATCGAGTTTAAAACCTTCATTTAAAGTTAATTATCCGCCTGGTGCAAACGCATCTTATGCTGTAGTGAAATCACGACTCACCGAATATGTCTTCATCATTGTGGAAGTCTTCCGGTGTGTACGAACTGTACATAGACATGGTGACGCTCTGCTCCTCCACCTGGCGTTGGAGTGCATCGATGCGGGCTTCGTAATTCTATACAGTGAAATTTAATGTCTACAGGCAGTGTACAGAATCCACCGGACACAGACGCTATCGGGAAACGAAAGGGGATAATTATGTGGGTAACACCGATTATGAAAATACCTTGATAATTCTCAGTAACGTCTCCTCTTCTAATGATCATCATCATCATCATGCCCTTATCACACCTAGGTGGTGTCGGCACAGCTTCGAGTCATCTTTCTCTTCTATTGTATATTTGGTAATATTTTATACGAATGATATATAGTTCGTTCTTTCCACACGAAATTCGACCATTATCATTTCTGTACCTTTTTATGAACCTTTATTATTAATTTTAAAGTTTTTTATAGTGCTAATCTCTGCACTTACGATTGAATATTAAAACATGTAGAAAAAGTACGAAAAGATTGTCGCCGCTGTGGGAATCGAACCCAGGTCTTCGGCATTCGCGGCCTGACGCTCTAGCCACTGATCTAAACGGCTGATAGCCACAGCGACGAAAATCTTAACGCCTTCTTTCTACATTGCTATTTAGCATTTGAAGCAATGCTTGGCGCATCTATTGTTATATCCTTTAACAAGGAAGGATAGGAAACAAGGAAAGGATATAACAATAGATGCGCCAAGCATTGCTTTATTATTGTTCAAAAAATTTATTGATATCACGATTTTCTCAATTTTCGTTTCATTACTTCTCCTTTTGCTGCGTTAACGACATCTTGTTGTCTGTTGATCTCGTCTGAGGAAGTGCCATGGCCTCACAGACGGCCGGCGTGAAGTGTAAATATAAAATCTTTGCGTTACGTCTGGTGAGTGAGGTAACAGGGGCCCGCTTTTGTGAAAGTTAGTAACGCGTCTATAACCATTCTGGTGTTGCTGTGTGTAATCACTTAACATCAGGTGAACCTTTTTCTCCACATAAAAGAAAAGATAAAGAAGATATAAGGGAAAGCTTGAAAGTGGCACCAGTGACTGAGAAAATAAGGAGTGGTAGGTTGACATGATATGGACACAGAAAGAATGAAAGTCATGTGACTAGAGGAGTGATGAATATTAATGTGGTTGGAGGGTGAAGAGGAAGACAGAGAAAGATTTGGATGGACTGTGTGAAGAATGAAATGTCTGTGAAAGGGATCAGTGTTGAGATGACGGCTGATAGAGGAAAGTGGAAGGAAAGGATTGTGCCGACCCCACCTAGTGTAGGATAAGGGCAGGAAAAAGAAAAGAAAAACTTTTGATGGTCGCGACCGAGAAGAAAAACATCACCCATGAGAAGAAAGTTACGGTACCTTCCGCTGCTCTTCGAACTGCTGGTCAGCGTGCTCCTTCTCCCTGCGGAACTGCTCCTCGAGGGCGAGGAGGCGCTTCTGCATCTCTGCCTTCAGGTCAATGCCCTGTTTCTCAAGCAGCTCGCACTGGGCGAAGTCCCAGTCGATGTTCTCGCCGTCCTTGCCCTCTGTACGGAGCGGATGCGACTTTGACTTTGGCTTTGCTTTGATTACAGTGTTTTCTTAAGTATGCTATTTCGATTTTACTTTAATATATATTCCCAGAGGCAGATACGACTTTTAATTTGACGATGCCTATGTTCACGGTGATTGATACATGTCACTGTGTTCACTTTAATACCAAACAGATCCGTCATCGAATCTTGACCATTGACTTTGCTCATATTTACGGTGTTTCTTAACTTACTACCTACTAACTTACTTCTAACTTAGCTAGTTATTGTGATTTTACGTCTATATTTATTCCCAAATATCGTCTGCTTTATTTACAGATGAAAAAAACTAATTCGTGGGAATAAAATAAAATAAAAATTCCAACGGAATTAAAACAGCATAACATTTTAAATAAATGTGGAGCACAACCTTCCAGATCTAACTAATGACCAAGTTGGGCACTTTTTATTAATGTCATGTTAGTATTATTTAGTCTTAACATCTTGATTTGTAGTACTTTGATAGACTTGTTGCCACCAAGAGTTTTCATATCGCGTTTTATTGAAATCGAGATATGTCTTAGTTCCGAGTCTCACCGTCGTTATTAGTTTCGGCATTTTCTGTTGTGTCGGCGATTTCCTTGATGCAGGGCTCGTACCGCTGTCCGGGGTGGGTGAAGCGGAACACGTGGTTCTTGCCGAGGATGACGCGGGAACCGGTCTTCAGGATTATCGGCTCCTTGACCTAGGCAATCATTAAAAAAAATCTATATTCAGTTTAGGCTTTTTGGATCAATAAATACATCAAGATCGCGTCGTCGATATATTTAATTTTAATAGTATATCTGCTTTCGATGCATTTGAAATTGATGATGATAATAATTGAAAAACCAAAAATAATCAAATTGGAATTTATGAAATAAGAAATGCTATGTATAAACAATATATATTGTTTAACTGTATTTTGTCTTTAGACTTTGTATTGGTGTTGCACAGCGACTATATATTTCGGCTATTAAGATTAAAATATATGAAAATCACTTTTATATAACTGTTGTTTGGAATGCGCATAAATGTAGAGCAGATTAAGATATTAACAATGTTGAATTTACAATTAGTGATATTTGAAACATTTTTACTTAAGTTAAAAAGTTATTTTTTTTATTTAAATATTACTAGCGACCCGCCCCGGCTTTGCACGGGTCCAATGTATTATGCATATAAACCTTCCTCTTGAATCACTCTATCTAGTAAAAAAACGCATCAACATCCGTTGCGTAGTTTTAAAGATCTAAGTATACATAGGGACAGACAGACAGCAGAACGACTTTGTTTTATACTATGCAGTGATTAGTGTTAACTTTTCACTTCAAACAGTACATAGTTAACACAGAATTATCGGGGCTTACCTCTCGACCGTTGACGTAGACGAGGGCCCCATGGTGAGGTATAAGACAGATCACGCCATCTGTGTTCTCGAATATGCAATGCTCGCTGAGGATATGAGAGCCGGACAACTGTATATCTTGCGGTAGGTTGGCTTCGGACGTGCCCAGACGAGTCACACCTGTTGTAGGAACGAAGAGTAATTGAATATATACTGAAAAGTAATAACACAAACCTAAGCATAAACACACAAAATTCTATTTTCCACAACCCGTGTATTCATTTGCGCATAGGAAAGCCAGTCGCGAAAATTACATTATTACCAACTTCGTTGAATCATCCTATTAAATCGTATCTAAATCGTACCTTAATCGCCTACTGCGCCATCTACAGAGCTTTCCATCCATTTTCTTCACACCGATTGTGTATAATTTTAGACAACATTTTACAGTCTTTTTCAAATTTTCTTTTGCCTGAACTATCCTTCGAACTGCTCAAATAAAAATAATAATATTCAAGCGAATACGCCGAAGCCAATACCTTCTCAACTGCGCCTCGGAATCATCTATTTCAAATTTAAACTGCCACACATTCGGTTGCGTTCCTCCAACGCTCCTCCTCTCCTCGGTTTTAACACTCACCGTCTTTGATGTAGTAGATCAGGCACTCGGAGAGGTTGGGGTCCTCGTTCAGGTTGACCAGGTGCGGCGTCTTCTTCGGCGAGTAGACCCCGACCGTGATGCCCTCCTTAACGGCCACGCCCATCTCGGCGAAGACCGCTTCGCGCTGCACGCGTATCTGCTCCGTGCGTTTCAGCTTCTCCTCCCACGTCTCGTTCAGCTCTGTTGGCAATCGTTCCGAAATCGAGACAATCCTTGTCTGTTGGCGGTCGAGAAGTTTGCAGACAGTTTTCGGAATACGCCAGGGTAAGGGTTCTCTCGAATTCCGAATACAGTTTGGAATTCAGACAACGATTCACCTCGTCGCTGATTGGGAGACTTTTTGTTGTTCGAAATTGAATAGTTTCAATCTCTTTTGAAATACAACAAGAACATGAATGCCAGACGAATAATATTAAGGTAATAAGTGCGACCATAGAAGAACTGAAACGTAGGTCTTATGATGTGTTATGTTTATACCTGATGTCTTAAGTTTGTTTGATCTTTTTTGATGATAAAATCAAAACAGCAGCAGCCAAGGAGTAAACAAGTCCACACCAAGGATCATCGTCGCATCGTGTATTCTATCTTATGGTAATACTGAACAATTTCATTCAATTTATTTTCTTTAAAAAATGTTTTTTTTTAAAAACTGTATTGCTAATTTAATAAAAAATATCTCGGTTTAATAAAAAATATCTCGGTGGCTTGATGGCTTATAGAAAGGGTTTGCATGGTATGGTTTATTTACAATTGATGACGAGCAATAAAATAAAATTGAAGGTGCGGAATTAATACGCCAATTATACATAGTACTTCCAAAACCATCAGCAAGCTTAAAAACTTTCTACTGGAAAACCTGTTACCGATTACAATAATATTCTTTGAAACTTAAGTATTTTAAATCATTATTAGAATTGGAATTGTTGGGGAAAATTGCAAAAACATAAACAGTTTAAAGGACGCTCAACCAATTCCGATAAGCGAGGGAAACGGTTGACGTTTTCTGCAAATTAAAAAACAAACACAGATAAAAAAACAATTCACTACTGGACTGAGCATCAAATGATACTAAATGTGACTGGTAGCCGATTCAAAGAAAAAAAAAACACATGTTGCTCTACAAACCTGCGATGAGTTTCTCAGAAGCTTGCAGTTGATCGACGGCCTCTTCGGCAATGGTGGTGGCTGCTCTGGACAACTTCGGCGAGAGGGCCGTCTCTTCACTCTTCTTGCGAGCCGGCGATGTGTTCTCCTCGCCTGTTCCGGCACATTGCGTTTATCGTACGATAGACAAAGAGCGATATAGTCCACTGGCGGTGAACTTTTGTGGGAATCGTATTTTGAATCTTTAATAATGGAAATTTAATTTTCTTGGAACTAAGCCATGTCATTAGAAAATTTTGAAAAGTTTTCTCGAGCAGTATTCATTAATAACAGAAGTTGTATAATAATTAATAATAATTTCTCATTATTAGTTAGCCAATGAATAGAGGGTAATTATTAAACACCTACATATAAATTTTTCCTTCGATATATTTTTAATTACATAATCTTAATTTTTAAATAAAGCAAATTAAATAAGCAAATGTAAACATTTGCAATTAAATAAATTATAAAAAGGCATTGTCCTAAAATGCCGAAAATAAATCGATTATAAGTAGGTAACAAAATAATGCAGGCCACACTAATATTTTGAACTATTTAGGTATATGAAAAGAGAATTTTGAAAAACAACCGCACAAGTGAAAATAGTTGTCAGAAATAAATTCGATATTTCATTATATTTCAAACTGCTTGGATGTATTTATGAATAATATTATCCGTCACAACTTGAAACCATTTTTACCATACTGTAAATCTAAATAGTGTGAGATACAAAATCAGTATGCACAATTTTGCCACCGTAACCATAAAAGTGGTAGTGAAACAAATTATCCAACACCTCTGGTTTTATATTTTTTATGCAATAATCAATGTTATTTTTTTTTTTTGGTTTTTATTTATTATTTTTAACAATAAATGTAAGCAACGATCGGAACTGATTCTAAAATTTAATAATTTTTTTATCTGAATAAGTTTATGTACACTTTATTTATTTATAAGGTTTCCGTTTAAAATATTACACACACACACACTTTTCTTTGATTATCTACGTGTTAATTAAGATTAAATATGGACATAGTACACTGAGTGAAAATTTATTGTTATAAACATATAGGTAATATAATATATATAAATATAATTTTAACAATATATATAATTTTTAATAATTTGATATGATTTCTGATTTAAAAATAAATGAAAAAACTATTTTTTTATATTGTTAATATTATTGTATTTGTTTCTGTTATTTTTACGGTGGTAGGGCCACGCAGCAGCCTCGGCTGTTGCACGAATGGGCAGGCCCGTCCGGGTAAGTACCACAACCTCACAGAAGACCAGCGTAAAGTGGAAGTACGACAATTACTTTCGCGTGTCGTCTGGTGAGTGAGGTAGCCGGAGCCCAATTTTCAAAAGGTTGTCAACGCATCTGTAAGCCTCGGGTGTAGCAGATGTCCATGGGCGGCGGTATTCACTTAACATCAGGTAAACCGTCTGCTCGTTTGACAACTTTTCGCATAAAAAAAAAAATAAAAAAAAAGTAGAACTAATTTATAAACATGTCTTAATATTGATATCAATATTATAACATAAATCATTGAAATTTAACAATTGCGATTTCTTTGCTTACATTTACTGCAGGGCTTTAAACGGAAAATAAGTTAGAAAAGTATCAACTACGTTCTTACGGATGTAAGGACGACATGCAGATGCTCGCCGCAAGCTATAAAGCTTTTTTATTGTAGCAACACATACATCGATATAAATACGTATATATCCGTTCGCGACCATCTATCAGACAAAGCTTTTTTATTACAAAAACGTTCCGTTCGTTCAACATATATAGTAAGTATGTATTTTTTTAAATCAATTGGCCAATCAGATTTACTTATCAGTACTGGCCGCGAACGGTGAAACACAAAAAAAAAATACCGAGCATTTATTTGAACGCTATATCAAACAATTTGATCGAATCGAATCTCAACAAAAAACTTGCAGTTTGTTTGCCATCTTTTATAAAGATGAAAAATGCTCGGCGTTTTCATGTACGACATTCATTTAACGTAAAAAAAAAGGTAAACGTCACATCAAATACACATGTATACATCTATCGAAATTGAACGGAACCAACACCAAAACTATATGACTTAAGCGCTGATACATAAAATGTATGTATTTATATAACTGTTCACTCCATGATCGTGTGGAGTAACATTATATATGCTATATAACTCCTACAACGCCACAAGCACTGGAGTAAGGGTGCGTTACTGCTCATTCTTTCGCCACGTGTGTTGGGTTGCCAGAGGAGTGTCCAAAACGATCACACACGTTTTGGGATCTGGCAACCCCGAGTAAGGAGGCCAAGCGTACAGGTGGGGTGTACATATGCGATGCGCAAGCCTCTTTAATGTTTTCTTTACTTACTGACGGGCTGTTCTTTCTTTTCATAAACGACTCTACCATCCGGTCCTAGATCGGTTGGATTCAAGAAAGAAAAGTTAACATTTTAGTATCGTAAATTGCGTTTCGTATCACAATATCACATGTTTGGACTTTGTGGCGTTATGTCGTTACATCTAGCGTGAGTTTACGTACTATGCGAACGGACACATGACGGGGCTATTGTTCCACATTACGTCTAAGCGGCCTAACTTCAATTCAACCCAATTGTATTAAGGTCGGCTTTCGCTTACCCTCTTCGACGTCGATGCCCTCGGCTTTGAGGAGCTCGCGAAGTTTCAGGATCTCCTCCTTGAGCTCGCGTATGAGTTTCGCGTTGGCGTCTTCGTTGACAACCGCCTTGCAGACGATCTGTTTGGCGCGATCGGCGTATCTGGTGGAAACATTTCTCGGTGCACTACTTCATTATGAAATATAAATGAAGTTTTAAATATCACGTGCTCAGCGTTGGAGGAGAACATCGTGTAACAATGTTCGACATGTCGAACAATAAAATATATATTTTTCGGAGATACGTGAAGTCCGCCAATCCGCAGTGGGGTCGCGTACAGCTCCTTTGTCTTTGCCCAGCAGTGGGACACATATGGGCTGTTACTTAACTTCACTTTTACCTTATTATATTATGCATGTTAGTCAGAACCGTCTCGTGAAGCACCACGGTTCAGCAGAAGACGACGTAATAAAATAGTTTTTGTATTTCGTCTCGTGAGTGACACTGGCAACCCTGCTGTTGACGTTCTGTCAACAACGACGTAACCTAACATTTAGCCGTATTCCCTCATAAGAAAACATATTTAACATAAAGCTATATGTTTATTCTGTAATTTAAACATAGCCTGATATAGAACGACCATATTTACGCCGTTTTTCATCTTACTGACGCTAAGGATTCAGGTGAGTTGAGTTGTAAATACCGTAAAACGGCACTTCTTCTTTCGAAAGTCCCCAAGATCGCTAAAGTGTGTCGCGAATTTGACCCGATGGCAGTTGCTAAGCCATTGGCTTCAGTGACGGAGGTCATGAGTTCGCTTCCCACGCGGGAAAATTATCCTAATCCTATAGTTTTCCTAATCCCAGATTATTAATAATTTTGTTTTTCTAAAGGAGGGTTGACGACAGGCAGGCTGGTGTTGGTAAAAAGAAACCCGAGCCAATATCATTAACAACATGATTCACAAGTTCCGACCCCACCAAGGTGAGATAATGAAAAGAGAATGAAGAAAAAGAAGAACCTGCAATAACATTAACAACAGGATTCACATGTTCCGACTCCACCTAGGTGAGATAAGGACAAGTCTATTTTTATTAACGAAAAACAAAATTCACTTCAAATATTTCGCTCTGTATTCATTTATAATTGATTTTTAGGACTTTCTTAAATATATCGTGAGCCCAAGATGCAATGCCAATTAAATTAACATGGGACCACATAAGAAGCATCTGTTTTCAAATAAGAAAATAATCATCAAAATCGGTTAACTCAGTTCTCTGATTCGAAAGTTCTGAGGTAGCAGACATAAAAAATACAGTCGAATTGAGAACCTCCTTCTTTTTTGATGTCGGTTAATAATCAAAATCAAAATCAAAAATATATTTACTCAAATAGACGCTTGCGCGCTCTTAAGAATCGTCAAATTTTACATCAAAGAATATGTATATAGGTTCGTAAGGTACCACCGGTTCGGAAAGCGGTTTCTGTTGAGAAGAGACCGGCAAGAAACTCAACAGTTGCTCTTTTTCAAAAATATTAGGGTACAATATAATATACAGGTATAATAGTTTTATCTAGCCTACGTGAGTATCAACAGTATTAACTCCACACATTGGCGTCGTCGAGATATTCCGAAATGATATAATATGCTTTAATCATTACTTGATTTTTAATTTTACATTTAAATTGGTCAAGCGGCAGACTTAATATCGACTATGGGATTTTATTATACGAGTACATGCGTACACTTTGCCCCATGAACGACCTATTTACTTTTTGTAGACGAAACAATGGCGTAGTAAGTTTGTGATTATTTCTAGTGTTTATTTTATGTCTGTCACTATTCTTTAGGTAATAATTAAGGTTATTTCGTATATACAAAATATTACAATAAGTGTATTGAGAAGCAACAGTGAGTATATTAACCTCTTTGAAAAGATCTCTGAGTGAATTCCGGGCTCCGAAATTGTAGATTGCTCGAACAGCTCTTTTTTGAAAAATAAATATAGAATTTATATCTGATGCATAAAAAGAGAAGAAGAAGAAGAAGAAGAAACTGCCAAGCGCTCGATAGATTTGATTGATGCTCCACTTACCTGAGCGTGCTCAGGGTCTCGTCGTAGTTGATGTCGGCTGGCGATATGGCCGCTATCATCGCCGTCTTGGAGTTGCCGCCAAGATTCTCGCGCAGCAACCAAGTCAGCACGGAGTCACGGTACGGGATGAAGTCCGCCTTCTTAGACTTCTTACTCTTCGATGCCTGCGTTTGGAGTTTCCATTAGACCGATGGGTTTTTCCATTAGATCGCGCGCGTGTCTAGCCGATGAGCATATGGCGAAATCTGACCGGGATTTTGTATGTAATTTTGAATACGGTACATGTGTTGAACCGGTTGTTATATTAAATAATTATTAAAATTTACTGTATCGTTTTAGTACATAGAGCATGCTGAAATGTATTAACAATTTGGAACGTAAAATGTTTGGTAGTTTTTAAAACTAAAAGTAGTAAAACTTTGGGAAGTCACGTAGGTATATTATAATATTACCTTCTAGTTTACTTGTGCTACTAATAGGTGCATTATCCTAGATTTGTTTTTACCAATATATTAAATTTATTCTTAAATGTATGGCAGATTTTTAAAACATATATATAATCGGTATTGCCTTCAAAAGTTTCAACATAAACATTTTATATGTGCAATACTTCTATTTTTTTTTTTAATAAACAAATGAAATGGAATAAAGGTTCAGGTTTTTGTAAGATGTCCAAAATTCACTGTGATTGTGCGATGAATGTGTTTTTGCAAGAGTTCAAAATTGAAATGCAGTAGAAAAATGTCTTTAGCGTTTTACTAAGAGAGTGGTTTACGTGAGATATCAAGCATATATGCAAAGGTTTATTTGAATGTTCTTGAAGAACTAAAACTAGCGCTTTTCGCAAATCCATTGGATAAAAAATTGGGCTCACCTTACAAGCAATAAGACTTACCACTACGAAAATGATTTCTTATTTATTAAAATTTTATAGCAATTAGCACAGTCAGCAGGAAAACAATAATATCGATAGCACAAACGAATAATCTCAAACGCAAGCTGTTCCGATCCCTTTTTATGCACACCGTAGAATTCCCTAAAAGTGCTTGAAGGTGCATTTTGCAGGCGTCAATTACGACATCAGAGGTGACCAGGGACAATAACAAAAATATCGATGACGTATTAATGTACAATAAAGAAGCGAATGGTGATAACCGGACAAGATCAAACGTTACTTACCGACTACGTTTCCGTGACGCAGTAAAAGTTGACAAAGTTTTATGAGTAATTTACTAATGTGATTATTCTCATTAACTAGCGAAAGTTTGCTTTTAAATGATGATAGCTTTTCGGATGATCACAATGAGAGGTGTGTTTAGCAAGTCACTAATCAAATTACGTGCTCTTCGTTTGATGAAACTGGATCACGTAATAAATGTACTCGTAAGTTACTTTTATTATTTAATTTTCGTTTGACATTTAAGGCTTCATCCTTTTAAATTTTCTCTTAACATTGAAAATAATGTTTTTTATATAAAAGTTAAAAGCATTATATATGTGTATACCTATTGTAACGATTTTTCATGTTCATTAATTTAAAAATAATTAATAACATGGTATATTTATTCTGATATATCGTAAGTCAAAAATTAAGTTATTATATCAAATATTATCTATGAATGAACATAGAATATAGGCAAAACGATTAAAACCGCTTACATTACAAAACAGAAGTGACCTTCTAGTTTCACGAGGCCATAAAGTGCCGCCAAATCACCTTCACTCAATGAGGAAAGATTAAAACTAAAATCTTAAACTGTACCATAGTTGAATTAACGTAGTAACAAAGTTCAAGATAAACTTTGCTAACCATTACAACAAATGTAAAATTTTTATCTATATATACCTATATATATATTTATATCTATCCAGCTAGACCTTAAACCAACAACCTTAACCATTCTCGCTAGCAGCACGGGCCGTCAGTATCATCGCTGTTCTAAAATGAGCTTCATTAAAATGTTATCTTCTTGTGTTACACATTGCTAAATCAAACTATTTTTAAATATTTATCGCTTTTTTTTAATTAACAAAAAAGGCAAGAAATCCGTAAAAATATCAGGGAACGGATAGTATAAGCAGCTGATTTCAAAGTTAACTCACGATTTCTGCCAAGGCGGAAATTACTTTCCCGAGGGTGGTGAGGGACTTGTTGATGTTGGCGCCCTCCTTGAGGCGGGTGCCTTTGGCGCCGGTGGAGTCAGCTCGCTCCGACCCGGCCAAATCGACCAGCGAGATCTTCGACACCTGCACATATTTGTCCGTACAAGACCTTACGATCGAAACGAGCAAGGGAACAACTGTTTGTGGTAGATCCACGCAGCAGTCTTCGCTGTTGATGAGTGGCCAGCAGGTCCGTCCTGGTAACCATGAGCACACAGACGATTGGTGTCTGGTGAGTGAGGTAGCAGGGGCCCACTTTTTCTAAGAAGTCACAACGCATCTATAACCCTACGGGTGTTGCAAATATCAGTGGATCTTCAAACTTCGTCTATCACTTAACATCGGGTGAACCGCCAGCTCACTTGCCACCTTCTCACATAAAAAAGACTATGCCTGTCGAACTTGTTATTAAGCATTCCGAATATCGAAAATTTCATGTTAAATTAAATATTATATAATTCGATAACTATCCTCACTTTTACAAAACTTTCGTTAACTTTCTATTTACGTTAACTGACACGAATATATTAAATATGAATAATGCGACAAATCAATAAAAACAAACAAACTTTTAAATAGATTAGCGGCGTAAAGTAAAGGTCAAGGTAGCCGGGGCCCATTTAGGCCTACTACTTGGGCCCACAATGAAAGGTGGCAACACATCTGCAACCATACGGGTGTTGCTAATGTCCATGGGCGGATGTTATCACTTAACATCGGGTGAATCGCCAGCTAGATTGCTACCTTTTTCATTAGCGAATCCAAATTCAGTCATCAATGGAATTTCAGCTCATACCTTCTCCGACATCAGATTGGTGGTCTTGTCGTGGCGCTGTTGCGTGAAGAATATCGTGAAAACCGCGTGGGAGCGAGATGACGTCTCGTTCATGTTCGTGGCCGCGACGGTCCTGCGTGGGGAAACAGAAGAACAACTCACTCTTTGCCCCTTCGTTGTTTGTTTCAAATTCAAATATCTTTATTCAGTATAGAGGCATTACACTTAGAAAGAAGAAAGAAAGAAAGAAAATCTCTTTATTTGACATCAAGTAACAAAAAACATACATATTCAAAACATAAACAGAAAAATAACTATTGTGACATCAAATTGGAACTCCATTTCAGCAAAATGCTGCAGTTCTATTTGTACTACAGCGCTGATTTTCAAATGGAGCCTAAAGTTAACTTCACGGACGAAAATACTACTAATATTAATATTATTATTTACTAGAAGAGAAGAAAAAAAAGAATAATAATACAAAATAATAATGATAACAATTAATTACGTTCCTTTACAAGTGGGCTGCAAAGTAAAATATAACATTGTAAACTACATATTATTATATTCAGATATAAAATACAATAAACATAGTAAAATAAGTATAATTATATATAGACGTACCTACTAATCAAGGCAGAATGAGACACAGAATGTGATTGGTTAAGGCAATATAATAGCCGCTAAGATGGAATTATTGAAAGAATTTGTTTGTACATAAATTATTTATGAATTAGAGGATGTTTGGTCATTTAGTAAAATGTAATTTACTTATTCATTGTAAAAACGCTACCACCGGTTTGGTAAAGAAAAGCCGCTGACCTGACCGCATTTAGGGGAGGGCAAACGAGGCTACAGCCCCGGGGCCTCCACAAAAGAGGGGCCCCCACAATAGAGACTTCAGAAAAAAAAATTTAAATTCAGACTAGTAAACACTAGTAAACAATTATTTTTCCTTTCATATTTTTCGCGTTTTATCTTTACCTATTATACTTGGTTTCACAATAAATTATTTATTGGAAACTCGACTAAAAAGATTTTTTATTTTATTTGGAAAATAATTTGGGGCCAAGGGGCCTCCCATTCCTTTGTTGGCCTGAGGCCTCCAGATCCCTAAATCCGGCCCTGAGAACTGGCGAAAGAAACTCAAGGGGATATTTTTAACCATTATTTGACAAAAAAAATGTTTTGACAAAAACATGTATACATACGTATTAAATTCCATTGTATCCATTTGAGCCTGGAGCGATCAATTCATTTCCAGGGTGGGTGTGTTATCATAAAAAAACAGTTTAACTGACAATGTGTTGACAGTTCGCGCACACCCCACATACATTGCATTGTTGCATCGGTGAGGTCGTAGATGTCTTGGTAGGAGATGACGGCGCGCTAGTATCATGTCGCCACTTACCATCAAGTGCAATGGCAGACAAGTGCTGGCCAGTTTTGAATTTAAAAAAATCTACCTCGTGCTTGTATATATTGCTATAGCGTTACCTAGCCTTGTTGCCTTCATCGATGAGGTCGTAGATGTCTTGGTATGAAGTGACAGCCAACTTGCTCAGGTCCTCCACGTAGGGTCCGAGCGCTGGGTGCTCTCTTACGCGCAGGTTTCCCTTGTTCTTGGGATTCAGAAGGTCACGCACCCGTTCACAATATATCTCCATGTAAGACACCTCCACCTAAAATAAGTAGATTCATTTATTGTCAACACATATACATAGACGAACATTTCGACAGTGCGAGACAGTTGTCCGCGGACTGCACAACGTTCGATGAAAAATTTAACATTTTGTTGCGATTCATTTGTTTTATAGTAACTATAATGATTACAATAATCTTCATTTGCCTTTGAACTGGGTGTTTAACAAGATGACTACATAATGATGTATTTATTTTAATTTTTTAAACATTTTATTAAATTTTAAAAAAGATGTGAATACATGACAAAATCAAAAGAATGATAAATCTCTATAAAATTGTAAAACAGTTTCAATCAATCAGAATTTTTAAATAAACAAGATAATTTAACCGAGAGTAGAATTCGCACGCACCTAAAACGAGATTCATAAGGATATACTTACTGAGTACGTGAGGTCATCACTAGTCGTTTGTCGGATGCGGCGGAAGAGGTCCTTGCATATCTGAGGGATGATGCCCTCTTGACCTTCTTCGCCGCGACCCATCATCGTGTAGGATTTACCAGCGCCGGTTTGTCCGTACGCAAATATACATATGTTGTATCCTGTTGGGAAAGCAATAGCATAAAAACCTTTTGGCTTTGTCCTCAAAAACTAGATAATACTGGACTATGGGTATATTTCAAGATATTTATTAAATTTATAAAAAAAATAAATGTCTCACCGTCGAAAGCATGTTGCAGCATCTCCTCCCCGATGTCTTTATAGACCATAATTTGAGAGGAGAACTCGGGATCATTTTGCTAGAATACAAAATCAAGTATCAATTTCGAATGTCCATCGTCAATTTTGTATGGATATATGAATGTGCACATTTTCTTCCATGCTGAGCTTTATTTTGTAAAAAAAAACTGTTTTATATTGTTTTTATTTCATAAATTTTATTACTTCGTCAAAAAACAATCTTTTCCTAAATAAATTTGGTTCAGCAATCATAATCGACAGTTTAAAACTGTGGTATTTTTATATAAACATTATAATGATTATAAGTGATAAACGTAGAAAATAACATACTCAAACTAAACGCGAATACCATTGAACAATGTCGTTCAATAGAGAAGCCTTATACGTCTGTGCGGGCCACAGATAACTAATCTCGTAATCCTGTTGCGGCTAAATCCAATATGGCGGGAGTCCAAAATGGGCTGGAGAGAAATTAGCAACTTTCGTGCAGGGAAAGAAATATCGATTTTTATAAATATAAATTTTATTGACGCAGATAAATGATTGAAAATAAGATTAAAATAAAATTCAATGGTATCGAAATAATATAGGTATAACATTTATTGATCGAACATTAACTACAGTCGAACAATTCAGTAAAATAATTGTGGCACTGTACTGGGAAGCAAATTGGCTTGAAAGCAATTGTTAAAGAATTCCATACAATGCTAAGTGCACTTTTGGCACGCATTCAAAACATAAATCAGATAAAACTATCATTCCGAAAGATTTAAGTAACATTTTGCTACGTTTTCTGGGTTCAGTGAACTATAAATGGAATGTAAGTTGACTATCTAACTGTGAGCATAAACAAATTATTCATATTTGCTTCGTCTGCACAGACCGCACAATAACTGGTCATCTTCGATTAAAACCTTAACACAACACGAATAACTAGACGCAAACTAACAGCAAGCAATCGGCATTTCCATTAAGTTTCTCATCTCCCCTCTGTTGACACAGGAAATTTGAGCCACGGGACGTGGGTGGACGAAAACTACTAGGTAGGTACTTGATATCGGTTCCTAGACAGGAAAGAATCCACACCCGTAAACTTATGCATATTAACAATGTATTTGAATTTTGGGAACAAGGCCTGCTTCTCATATTGTGAAAAAATAGTTTTAATGGCGTTCTCCGTATGTTGTATTTAGAACAAACACTACTAAAAAAGCTTTAATAGTCTCGGGACTGAAAGCAAAAATATCAGTTAATACAAGAACAGTTTTTTTAACAATACATGAAAAATAAGTAAGCTTTTTGCCAGAAACTATATAATTTTCTCGTTATTAATTTCACAAATAATAATGTTAATAAAGTAATTTAGAAATAATAATATTAATTACTTATAATTACGTGACTCATTTTCGAAACGTCGGGAAATTAATTATAAAAAAATAGTTTTACTTAATAAATCAATATAACTTTAAAATTAAAGTTCAGTGTGAAGAAAGAGTGAAATTTGTTTGAACTTAACGTATGTCATCTTCTGATCCCCATCGATAATAAAAACGAAAATTAATTAAATTCCGAAAACATCTTGCGCGGCCTGATCGATTTTCCACCCTCGCCACATTGATGAAATGGGTTTGCCTGATGTCAAACCAAAATTACATTTTGAATTTATCAACGAATATTCTATTTTTGACGAAAAAGCATCTCCGTTCCGATTAAAAGTAAGAATATAAGTTTACCATTAATTCCGAAAATATACGAGAATAATTAATATTTTTATAACGAAAATGGATATTTTCGAATGATAAATCATCTAGCTTTACTTATTTAATATACTGAAACATTACATACACACAATAAAACTAGCCTGTTTTAAAAAACTGCATATTATATACAAACAATACCTAAAACAATTCACGACCAGGTCCTTCATCTACAATATAGTCGGATTTCTGTACAGGATGTATAAAGGCTTATCATTTAGTTCTACGATGTTTCATATACAAAGTTTTTATAAGTAAAGAACCAAAAGTAAACGCAGACAATATACGCGTTGCTCACTAATCACAATAATAATGCTACAATACTTACATTGTGTGACCAGTAAGAGAAGTCAAAGTTGAAGCTTTTTGCGGCCTCTTTGTGCCCCTGTGGAAGTTTCGGGTTCACTATCACTGTAACAAAAATAGATAAGGATTATTTTCATAAACACGTAGACGAATATAAAGGGTAAGGGTCTAAAGTCGCGTCTGCTAGAGTTGGTGACCAATTAGTGCGAATTTCAAGGGTCTTTAATATAACATTACCGGGGGGATTTTCTTTAGCGACCTTTCATATTTTCGCGGATGAAAATACCGCGGTAAATGAAACCATTGAGTGTGCACAGGCGAATGCCGCTCGCGTTTTTCATTTAATCTAGTATCATAGCTCCAGGTGCTTTGATACCCTTTAGGATGCTCCATATGAGCGTCTCAAACGCAAAGTGCCCTTACCGCGTCGTGCTAAAAGCTATCTGCAAGTGTGCGTAACAGCGAAGGCTTAGCCCTGTCAGTCGTAATAATGGATAGGAATATTCTGTATGTGTGCGTAGTGCAAGGTAAGGCGTCGGGTGGGTGCTCGACCGTCCGTCGCGACGTATCGACCGACGCCGTCGTCGGAGCGTCGCGTTGCGACTTGCAAGGTGAAGAAACTGGGTATTCATACGTCGTTTTCCAGCCAGTACCTAATAAATTCGACTTTGCTTGATCTCACTTTGTATGGTTGGACCGTAACTAAAGTATTTGGAGGGAGAGAAAAATAGAAAACCAAATAAATGAAGACCAAATTATTGATTTTTTTTTAAATCAAATGGCAATGGAGAGCTTTCACTGTTATTTTGGGAGACAATGACATGTTTTGCGCTGTTCTTAACGAATAGAAATATGCGTCCAGTTTTTTTTATTTTATTTCACGTATGGATGGATATCCACTGAGTTCTTTGATGATAAGTAAGGACAGCCGCCATAGGTACACACAACATCACTGATGTTTCAAATGTCTCGGTTACCTCACGCATCGGGCGAAACGAAAAAGTTTAAATACTTTTACATCATGCTGGAATTCTGCAAGTTCATGGCCTATTCCTGTGCTGTTCGGTTAACTGGTGTTGCTCTACAATTTTTAACGTTTCCCTAAAAGTACAATCTTAAAATCCAACGTGCCACAATTAACCGCTTGAACTGTTAACATGTTCTGCTTTAATATGTTTCATTTAATCTGTTATTGTGAAATTATATTTATTTTTCTTATATAGCTTTGTTAAATTTTTTCGTGATGTAATATTGAGTTGAATGAATTTTAATTGTTATTTTGCTTAAAGTTTTTTTTATGTACCAAATAAACATTTCTTTCTTTCTTTCGACGGTCTCAAAAACAAGAGAAGATCCGACCATCTGGTTTCGCTTAAGCGCAAACAAATCCACGAAGAGTAATAAATCGCAAATCGTTTCCGCCAGCGCCTCCGCGGCAAAACCTATTACTGGTTTTACGAGTCTTCTCCGGACTTGCATCACGCTACACCGCTGCACCGCGCTGAAAGAAGCTCAACTTTATTGCTGCCATCAAATAAGCGGGCTCAGCTTAGTTTTGCCCATGTTTAAGCAAGAAATGAACATTTACGGCGTGCGAGTTTTACCACCAGCTTGCTCACGCCAAGAGAGCTTGCTTTTAAGAGTGTTAATAAATGAACGGTGTACGTTACACAAAATAACTCTTGTGTTGACACAATTATGAGCAAGTTCAATAACGTTAAAATTAAATTGATGCTAAAATGTATAATAGTGCATGAGTTTGCCAAGAAACTTATGTTAAGAATCTTCAGAATTAGAGTAATGGGAGGTTTTGTAAAGTATACAATGAGATATGCACCAATTACTGCACTAATTTTATCAAAACATAATTAACGGTAATCTACGATTATACATCGACTAAAAGATAACCAATATAAAAGAAACTAGTTTTAACATTATAATATACAGTGATATTTAAAAGTGTTCCTAATATTCGTCATCAATCGATGTTAGCGCATACACATCAATATCCCGATAACAGGGAAATTACACTGAAAGAAAAAAGTTTTACCGATACACGTCACAGTTAAGTGAAGTTTTTGCACATAACACCTTAATTATAGTAGGCGGTGCTTCTATCTTAGCTAGCATATGTAAAATAAGGTTCAAATTTCAAACGTACCAGTAACCAGTTAATACGCAATAAGAATGGAGCATACTTTCGGAACACTAATAAAACTCTGCTATGGTATGCGAACTACAAAAGTTATATTTTATGAAAACAGGATAATAAAACGCGGAGTATGAATATAGGATATGAAATACCGACTCCACCCCGCCGTTCTCCTTATTTGACCGGAAGTAGAGCCGTCCATATGAGAAATGCGAGACTGAATGTCGGCACAAAGCCTTTGTTACACTGCAATAGTTATATTTGCTCAACTAGTAAAAAAAGTAATAAAAGCGTCCGCGGCCTGCCACTGCGGGTCATTTTTTGCCGCAATGTTATTTTCTATTCAACGAAACAAAGTAAAAATGGCTTCATTTACTTAGTTAACATTGTCAGATTGATAAAAAATCGAAATAATAACAAAAAAAAGCAATGGGACAGATTGATACATTATTGATTGATTGATCATTAATATCTCCGTGGCTCAGTTGACAATGCCAATTGACTTCGGCCCCGGGGTTATGCGTTCGATTCCCACACAGGACAACTATTTGTGTGTTTAAACTATTATCTTTATATAACTTCACATATATGACTGTTTTACATACAAAATTTTGGGCGAAAAATAGGTAAATGTAAAATGGCAAAATAAATTTCATTACCGTTCTTAAATACTTAAGTAAATTTATATTAAGTCAAACTTAAAATTGTTAAACCAATTTAACCACTAAAAGCAATCTAATTAAATCACCATAGGTCGTGCGACGCATAAATCTCCACTTAAAGTTTAACTAATTTTAGAGTTTTGCCATAAATTTCGGGTTCACTTAAGCTTGTCTGAATTGTGAAACAACAGAATCGACAGGGGTGACGCACAAGGCAGGGGTCGACGAACGGCTCGGTGTGAATCATCCCATAAACCCTGAATACAGGGAGGCGATGATGCGAGAAATTCGAAGGGTAGTGACCGCTCCGTATCCGTCCACACTAGGCAGCAAAAGTTCCTATGTTACGCTTCATCGAATTTTCAGCACGTAAAAGTTTGACCTGCCTCATTATTTATGTTCCTGCATTCTCGCTACACACTCGCAGTTTTAATTCAATAATCCCAAATTGTGATTTCCGTGAAAACTAAACTTCTTATGCTTGTACGAGTATTAAAATACGAGACAGCGGCGACGATTTTGATGGAGTTAGCCGTTCACCTGCGTGAACACTTCACGATTTCTTTTATAAGTACTTTGTGGAATCAATTGTCGCCAGTTGTATTTCAAAATCAAAGTCAAAATTTCTTTTTTCAATATAGGATTTTTTTAAGCTCTTATTGGACTTGAAAAAATGTGCGGTTCACTAATACCGACCTGTCCAGAGAAGAACCGGCAAGGAACTCGGCGGTCCCGTTCTCCTTTTCTTTTATGTGAAAATTTGTTAATCGAAAAGGCAGTTCACCTGATGTTAAGTGAATATCGGCGCCCATGAACATCTACAACACCCAAAAGCTTGCTGATGCGTTGACAACATTTAAAAAGTGGGCCCCGGTTATCTCAGTCACCAGACGAAACGCCGAAGTATAACACTTCTTCCCGCGTCTTCTGTGCGGTCGTGGTACTTATCCGAACGGACCTGCCCATTCAAACCATGCCTTTAAGATTTCAAATTTCCCAGACGATGCCCATACCGACCAAAAATGCCGACGACGCCCATTTTGTAGTACCATTTTTCCTCTCACGAAATTAGCTTTTTCGTAATGTACAGTAAGATCTTGTAAGAGTACAACTCGAGCCCAACCAAATTTAACTTCAGCCTAGTTCGAATCTCTTTATTGCTTTAATGTAGCAGTGACATTCCCTCACGACCTACATTAGTGGAGGTCGTAAAGCGCTATTGAGATTTAACCCCTACGGACGCTTTATAGTACCCATGAAGCATTTGGCGGTTCACGGACGTTTATGAAAATATATCTATATGAATGCAATAGCCTCAGAGCATGCTCAGCTATTCATAGATTTTAATTCATCAGAAGATTTTTTCGGTTCCTTTTTCATAAAAAAAAAGTCAACGCAACTTCAACCCTACGGGTGTTGCTAATGTGCATGGGCTTCGGTTATCACCTAAATTCAGGCCAAATCGCCAGTTCGCTTGCTGCCTTCTCAAATAAAAAAAAAATATAAATTAAAGACAAAATGACAAGTCCCGGCTATTATCTACCTGCTGTTAGTCAGTGGGTGCTCTAAACTGAGTAGCGAGATAGAATATGAACCGCATATGCATTAGTTTTGTTAACCATAAATGGTGCTTAATCTTTTATCGAATTAAAAATACGCTCCTAAATATGAACCTTTTATCAATTCAAATAAAGTTTATATTGACTCGACGACGCAACTTACAGAAAAAGTAGGTAACATTATCATGTCGAATGCAAAAAGCGTTTATTTTCGAGATGATAACGGTAAGGGCGTGCCTCCTGTTCACTTGCACGGTTTAATAACTGGCTAATGCATATTAATGGACTTCGGATGGATGGTGACGCACGCAATGACGTCAACGTACCCTACTTTAGTGTGCCTTTAAAACTCAATTACATGCCGACATTGAACTTGAAAGTTCAAAATGTATTAAAAAGTTAAATATTACTAAGAACGGATAATGGATATAAGAGAGTCGGTAGCACCTTTTGTGATTATTATTTTAAAGCTAGGTTTGCATTTATTTATATCTATCAACTTTTTAAACATTTGAGATAGGTATCCGCATGATATAAGACCTATGGCTGAGTCATCGGTAGCTTTCAAAATGAACGCAGGTTTACGCATCTAAATTAATATTCGAAACACTCAATACTGTAAAGGTCAGCACACAAATTCCAGTAGGGCACAGATAATAAACGGGAAAGAGGATTTCCAATATAAAAATTCCTCATGAGGAATGAGGAATTTTTATATTGGAAATCCATAAAGGCCAGTGAGGTTTATTACTCTTTTCTTTTTTTTTTCTTTCTTTCTTTGTTTTTTTTTTATAAACATTGCCCTCACTTTAGGATAACATTATCCTGTGTTGTAAGGACGTTTTACAAACATGAATTGAACGAGGACAAACACCCAGATGCGAAACAACTATCTGTGGGCCGCACAAATAGTTGTCCCGTGTGGGAATCGAACCCACGACCCCTGACGCCGAAGCCAATACCTTGGCAACTGCGCCACGGAGTCATTCAAAGAATTACTCTATAACATAATCATGATATTTATTAGAAAACTTTTGCTTTGTATCGATGAAAATAGCGTAATAACATAAAAAATCAAGTATTACGCTCTACGAGCTTCAAAGCGGATTAAAAAGTTAATAAATTATATCTTTCACTGAAACAACCTACGCCTGTAAACTTGTTCTTAGGAGCTATGAGTTCCCTTAAACGCGATTACAGTTTAAAAATAAATCGCTACGAAATTAAAAAAAATATATGAATTCCCGGCACCGGTAGAGATCGCAGGAGGCGAGCGTTCTGAAGTGGAAATTTTCTCGTCTGTGACGAATGAAACCGCCTTCAATGCAAGTCTCCAAAGCTCGTAATTAAAAGTCCTTTAGGGATTGCATTTCGGTTCTCAAACGCAACTCGCGTTCGCGTTTAGCGGGAATTTTCAAACGAGTAATCGTAAAGACTGAACCGTCGAAAGAGCATGCATAAAAAAATATAATTAAAAGTAATTAAGTTGCGACGCCGATTATTGTTACATATAGCTCTATTTAATACTGTAGAAACATTTACCGGACAAAAATAAAGTACCAGTCTATACAGAAGGCGTTTTGCCCAGCTGTGGGACACTACCCAGAAGTGGAGTAGAAAGGCCTCCTCTGTACAGATGGTATAAGGACCCTACTTTACTAATAATAATCATGAATAAAAGTAAACTAACCTTAATCAATGGTCATACTTTGTATGTTAAACAATTAAATGATCATTGGGGCCCTGATATTATGATATTTCATAAAATAAGAAACGAAAACGCAATTTGATAAACATCAACACAATATAAATGTGAATGTAAGTTTGTTTGTTACGCTTTCACGCCAAAACTACTCAACTGATTGGCATGAAACTTTGTATATATATTCTTAGAGGTATTAAAAAGCACATAGATAAAACACATATTGTTATAAAAAAAGATTGAAAAAAAAATATATTTAAGAGCTTCCAAGCGAGCGAAGCCGCGGGTAAAAGCTAGTATAATATAAACGAATATGTAATAATCAGACGGTGTACGATGTGAGTCGATAGACGACTTGGCAAAGTCATCCTGTGTTGTAAACGTTTTACAAACATGAATTTCATGTGGACAAACACCCAGATGCGAAACAACTATCTGTGGGTCACACAAATAGATGTCCCGTGTGGGAATCGAACCCACGACCCTCGACGCCGAAGCCAATAATACCTTGGCAACTGCGCCACGGGGTCATTCAAAGAATTACTCTATAACATAATCATGATATTTATTAGAAAACTTTTGCTTTGTATCGATGAAAATAGCGTAATAACATAAAAAATCAAGTATTACGCTCTACGAGCTTCAAAGCGGATTAAAAAGTTAATAAATTATATCTTTCACTGAAACAACCTACGCCTGTAAACTTGTTCTTAGGAGCTATGAGTTCCCCTTAAACGCGATTACAGTTTAAAAAAAAATCGCTACGAAATTAAAAAAAAATATATGAATTCCCGGCACCGGTAGAGATCGCAGGAGGCGAGCGTTCTGAAGTGGAAATTTTCTCGTCTGTGACGAATGAAACCGCCTTCAATGCAAGTCTCCAAAGCTCGTAATTAAAAGTCCTTTAGGGATTGCATTTCGGTTCTCAAACGCAACTCGCGTTCGCGTTTAGCGGGAATTTTCAAACGAGTAATCGTAAAGACTGAACCGTCGAAAGAGCATGCATAAAAAAATATAATTAAAAGTAATTAAGTTGCGACGCCGATTATTGTTACATATAGCTCTATTTAATACTGTAGAAACATTTACCGGACAAAAATAAAGTACCAGTCTATACAGAAGGCGTTTGCCCAGCTGTGGGACACTACCCAGAAGTGGAGTAGAAAGGCCTCCTCTGTACAGATGGTATAAGGACCCTACTTTACTAATAATAATCATGAATAAAAGTAAACTAACCTTAATCAATGGTCATACTTTGTATGTTAAACAATTAAATGATCATTGGGGCCCTGATATTATGATATTTCATAAAATAAGAAACGAAAACGCAATTTGATAAACATCAACACAATATAAATGTGAATGTAAGTTTGTTTGTTACGCTTTCACGCCAAAACTACTCAACTGATTGGCATGAAACTTTGTATATATATTCTTAGAGGTATTAAAAAGCACATAGATAAAACACATATTGTTATAAAAAAAGATTGAAAAAAATATATATTTAAGAGCTTCCAAGCGAGCGAAGCCGCGGGTAAAAGCTAGTATAATATAAACGAATATGTAATAATCAGACGGTGTACGATGTGAGTCGATAGACGACTTGGCAAAGTCCTAAGGGAAGAATAATATATCTTTCTTTATTTCAATGTTCGTTTTCAGACGGCATTGACTACGAGGAAGGTTTCCCCACGCGACCTTAACGTCGGGTATCAGGTAACACGCATCAGCGTATGGTTATTGTGCATGTATAAACAATCTGTATTCGTTTGAACAGACAACTGACATGAATATAAGCGACGGGCGTCGAGGGTAAACTAATATTAATGATCTTGCTCAAACGAAAACTCAAAGTCTTTCATGATCAGCTTCCTGCCTTTATCCCAGCTAGGTGGGGTTGGCACAAAGAACGTTGTCGAAAACTTTCGAATCTAACGAACTACCGTGTCGACGTACCCTTTCATTAAGCGAAATAATACATACCGGACCAAATACATTTATTCTTTTTTTTTTCTCTTTTAAAAAAAACACTGCCCTTACTTTAGGATAATATTATCCTGTGTTGTAAAGGACGTTTTACAAACATAAATTTCACGTGGACAAACACCCAGATGCGTAACAACTATCTGTGGGTCACACAAATAGTTGTCCCGTGTGGGAATCGAACCCACGACCCTCGACGCCGAAGCCAATACCTTGGCAACTGCGCCACGGCGTCATCTAATTTATCATATCAAGTTATGCCATTTTTCGTTTTTCAGAGTAGATCTCGAGTTACCACCGGACGCTCCCACGCATTTTTACAAACGACCTTCATCGACATCGGTCTCCAGTGTGAATATTAATCCAAATATACCCCCTTCAAGGTTACACGTTCGGAGGGTACATGCGAAAGTCAAAGCTGAAGCCAGTTTAGGTCGGTTTCGTAAAAAAATTTAATAGGGCTTTTATCATTTAATGCGTTGGTTTGTTAAAAAAAGGTTTATATGTGCATTAAACACTCTTCCAAGCGGGATGTTAGTCATAATAGTCTTTGTGCAAATCGCTCTAAAATTTAAGAAAAATAAAAGTGAAATTTAAAAGTTTCACATTCTACGATGCTATCAAATGTCGTCAGTTACTAAGCAGATTCTCGGAATCTTTCAGCGGATAGCATGCGAAAGTCCCATCAATATTCATTAAACGGAGGTTTTTTTTCTTTTATGGCCCTAAACGCAGCGGAAAGAAAGGTTGAGCTTTTACTGCCCTATAAACGCCACTCTCCATTACCAAGGGTCAGGGAGCCATGCGTAGGTACGCCGAAGTAAATTAAACATCTAAAGATTTTGTACTAAATTGCACCATAATCGCCATACATTTTAATCAAGATAAGAACCATAAAGGGAAAAAGTATAAAGTAAATGTAACAAATGGTTATAGTATGTAACGGGTGATTTCATCACTTTGTCTTAATTGTTGTTTTTCTGAAGACTAGGCTGCATACGGAAAGTTCTGTTTTATCTCTATTGCGAATGAAGCAAATTTAAACAATTTCTTTTGTCCAACAGCAGAATTATTATTCAAGAATTCCGAGGTAAATTGTTTGAGATTTTAGAACTTGGTATCCTTCACAGGTCGCAGTATTCTGCTCCGATTCGTGAAAAATTGTAAACCTTCTCGGCAATGCAACGATCACAAAAGGGCCTAAACAGTCCAGTTGTATTTCCTAATGTGAAACGAATCGACAACACCGATTCATTATTCATGCAACCAATAAAACTTATTATTACTATCATTTTACCAACACTATGCTCGTCTATCATATAGGTCAATTTGGACGCAATTACACGGCGAATGGCAGACTGACAGACGGACGCCGCTGGCTGCTGAAGAGAGATAGAGCATGAGCACGAACCTGTTGTGTTGCCGGACATCTCAATGATGCATTTGCACTCCTTGGAGATCTCCCGTGAGTTGAAGGGGCGGACCCTCACCGCCACCTTCACCGACGACATGATGGCCGAGTTCGCTTGACGCCCTCGCCACTAGCACATCGGTACTGCAACCGAATTACGCCTGAAAAGAAACACGCGAATGAATAACAGTAAAGCAACAAACAGCATACGCACGTATCCCACTACTGGGCGAAGGCCTCTATAGAGACGGTATTATGATATCTAACACGATGCCCGATTGGTGAAAATATAATTAAAATATTGTTTTTTCAAGTGAAAATAAAGGATTCTCAATTCGGTTTTCCGTCCGTTTCCGATGATAAAAATTCTTTTTTTGCATTAATGAATCAATGATTAATTTTTTTATTAATTAATAATTGCATTCATTTCGCTTTAGCTCCGATGTTACATCAATCCATTCTATATTTATTTCCTTGTTATTCCAGCTTGGACCCCGGATATACATTCACGAAACTTCTTAAAATTAAATAGATAATTCATATTAAGTGACATAATTCAAGTCGTTTTTTTTTTTTTTAATTTTATATTTTATTATAATTAGATATGTAATCAATCAGTCAACCAGTACGAGCTACTGCAGCATCGACAAATGTGTATCTGAATAAGTGTAAGAAAACTCGCCCAGTACAATCGAATTAGGATTATTACATCGATTCCAGTATGGATCAGCCATTGACACCGCTGCGACATCATACGGTAACCAAATTAAGAAAAAAAATTAATCCCTTCGGAGTCTGTCCTCTTCATTCCTAAATTCGCAATCGGTTATGCAATTACCAAAGCGGTATATATAATACAAATTCAATTTCTTTACTTCATTATGTAACGCCCCGTCCTGTCACAACAAAGTATGGAGGTTAAAAATATTCATAATTAGAGAGAGTATAAAAATATTCAAAACTGTAATTTAAGTACGACAATACACTGAATCGTTATGTCATAATTTGATTAGATTGTGTATTTTGAATCTTTTATTCAACATTTAACAGGGTTGGAACCAGTCACAAACTTTGAGCGGAGACCTTTTAAAGGAAGTTGAGAAAGCCCAAACAATGGAACTCCAATGGCAAAACTTAAATGAATGGCAAATTTTTCCTTTAAGTTATTGCAGTATAATCAATCGAACGTTTGCGCAAGAGAGAAGCACCGAATGGTAACTGACTTTCGACACAACCAGCAACTACAAGTAAAGTATTTTCAGACGCCGTTATTGATTTGCTTCCCCATTGTCTAGCGATCGTACAAATCTATGAGTCATACGGAAACGTGCAAAATATTGAAACAATGCTTCGTGCATCGAGACACGGCGAAGAATCCAGTTCAGTCGAATTAGATCGGATAGTTTACGTTACGAGGCTAATGTAGCGGGCCGTGCTACCGTTACTCTTGGAGTCACGGCTCGGTGCACAGGCGAGTCGAATGCGCGAGCGCCCGTCAGCTGTTCCGACGGACAAAGGCCGCCTCGTATCGATTTTACTACAATCTGCTATGTGCATCTTTATAGTTGTGAATATCCGTCAATCAACGGCAGGCGTCAATTGGTCCCGAATGTCAAGAGATAATCTTACAGTTTTACTTACAATCGAACACAATGGACGCTGCTTTCAATTACGTCGGGGGTTAAAAAGAATCACACTAGCTCTGCTAAAGAAAAGAATGATCGATGATTATCGTTTTACTTTTTTTCTCGAACAACATACGCCACTTTCACAATATGCTATTCACACAATATCCATTTCAAAGACTTCGCGAAGCACAGAGGCGAACGTTTGACGCATGACGGCGCGGCCGAGGTGCTCGCCGGTCGGAGCTCGCGGACAAAATGGTGAATGTGCTCCTGAAAGCGATCCTCGCGTGCCGCAATCGCCGACGGTCGGCTGAACACAAAGTCGAAAGTGGCGTTGGGGCCGTGTGCGCCCGTGCTGGCCGTGTTACGTAATCCGACTGCAACCTAAGTCCTACTAGCGGCGGGGCCCCGCGAGACCGGTGGGGCCACGAGAGCGTGTCGCAGCGGGGATGACTCACCCGCGCGCACTAGCGCCCCCTACCCGGGAGCGGTATAACCTTGGGGACGCACCGTCACCGATCGGCGCGGGAATGAGCGCCGCTGCGGACTTACCCCGTTCCCAGGGCGATGTCGATCGGCGGCGCGTTCGGCGTTACGCTATGCGAAGGTTTGGGAGCTTCTCGCTCAGGTCAGGTCGCAGATATGGCCGGCATGGCGTCGCGGCGGGGTGCGCGATGCGACTGCGGGCCGTAGAAGGCGGCGGCGGTGGCGCCAGGGGGCGCATGCGCGCTACATAGGCCACCTTCGATCTGGCAGGGGCTGCGCGTGGCGGGCCGCGCGCACACGCCAACGCCAACAGGGCTGCCGGGTCCGCGCGGCCATTTCGCGGCCCCTGCCAGCCCGCCGCGTTCGAAGCGGCCCTAATTGCGAGAAAAACCCGTTCGGTTTTTCATTGACGCCATTCACCGCCTAAGCGTGGGAAACGCACGCCACTCGCGAGGCTCACTTAACGCCCATCTCGATTTGCCTCATTACGCCCCACTAAGCAGGTTTATTGTACAAATTTATGTTAAGGAAACCTACTTATCGTGCCGTATGCGAGGCTACCATAAATTATTAACCGTAACAATTTAAAATTTAAACCGAAATAATTTAATTTTAAACGGTAAAAAAGGGTTTCGATATAAATTGAAAAGATAATTCATATTTCATTCTCGCAACGGCAAATTGACTAGTTGTTTAGGCAGTGGTCGCAAGATACATTACTTTATCAATAAGATACCTTACTTTTATCTGGGAAAACTTTTCAACATATTTTCTCATGGGTTGTATTCGCATTTCAGACGGGCATATTTTTCAGGCGCAAACATAAAATTGTCACTCGTGAATGAGGAAATATATATCGTACATCATGTTCTTCTCTAACTCAGCGTAATAATTTTATAAATATAACAGAGTCAAATTTGGGTATTTTAATGATTCGTTAAATGTCTTTAAAACGAAACTATGATCTCTTTTAAATTAGAGTGCATGTAAATTTAAAATTAATTCTTTTTTTTCCACAAATAGTCTTTTTACACAAATTTATTTAAAATATATAGGTAACTAGTTGTTTGTATTAATTCTTCTGTTTTAAATTTTATTTTTTATTTACTTTTATTTAGAACGTAAATGCTGTGTATACCTATAATAGGCATAAATATAAGAACAAAACCTGTAACAAAAAAATATAAATGTATATGTTAAGCTGTTGGTGTTACTTAATAAATAAATAAATAATATATTTGTATCTCGACATCACTTAACACAACAAGTGACGTACTATTTCGTAACTTTATTTTTTTAAATGAAATCACAGAAATCAAAAATATAATAAACACATTTATAATACTTTATGAATACAAATATTTTCGTAACTGAAGAACACAAAACTACGCATATGCTACTAAATAAGAATTTAAAAAAAAGTGTTACTGGACCTATCTATAATGTCGAGAAAATAACTTGGCTAATGGTGTTTTTGTTTGAGTAAGGAATCAAGAGACGACGCCGGCTATTTTATTCGGGTAAAATTACACCCCCACTTTACAGGGGTGGAATTAAATAGAATCATGCGCATATTCATTAAAATCTCTGCTTTCAACAATGTTTATTATCAAGAGACATGAAATAAAGAGGCGTTGTCGCTGGCGTTTTCAAATGTGCAACACATTATCATCGTATAACACTATTCGATTATAATATATTGGCAGGTAAAACCGTAACTATTATCCTTTACAATAATAAGAAAAACTGAAAACCTAATAAGATTTAGGAAGCAGGGGTTTGGTTATTAGTTCCTTATTTGCTATTTTCCTTTACAGGTTTACATGGGTCAAGGAACTGAATAAACAAAATAAGCCCTTAGCGGTCGGCGATGACGTAACTACGAAGTATTGATTGCCTACAGGCATAGAACATTCTACAACCCTCCAGCGACGCAACATGCCTCTTACACCTTCACAAAACACTGTTTTATATTTATCAATTTTATTTTAATAGTCGTTTCCTGTGTCATATCGGGCGACAAAAACGGAGATGTTTATAACTTATAACCAAAACCAGTTTATGCCATCTATATTAATAGATACATACATAAACATTTATCTAGATACACATTTTTTCCATATTTACGTACATATGTACACATTTTTTCGAAACTACTTAACGCATTGATAACAGCAAGGGCAAAAAGCAATTATCTTTCTATTAAAAAGTGTAAACGATAAAGTTAACTTCCCAGTATTGGAGCGAATGGGCGGAACTATTCCATATTAGGCGTATTGCCTTTCGGGCACCCAATTCAGCACGGAGCACCGATAAAGTAACTTTATGAAGGGCCTGAAATAACTGAGGCGGAAACGGAAACAAGCTACACAATACCTACATATGCAATACAGAAGCTAACAAAACATTTTTAGTAACTAAAAACAAAACCGACTTCAATCATCAAACTCGCTACACATTTTCATTATCATTTCATAATTATGGGGAGTTCCTGATGTATCTCCAAAAGCCAAGGTCCAATACATCACATGGGAGAAAAACTGAACCTGAAGATTCATAAATTACGGAGATCTAAGGAAACAAACATTACACAAAACATACAACCGAATTGAGTACGTCTTCCTTTCATAATTCGGTTGAAATTAATAGTCATTTAATTTCATCGAAGATTGAGAAGCACATTAAGAACAATTAATGTATTACTAGTACTCAGTCCCAGAAGGTATATTCTGCTATATTTGTGTCCGGATCACGAAAGCTATACAGGTAACACAAGTTATACAGTTATATTAAATATAACCGAGCAACGCAACGGTCATATCGCTGCACAAAAGCCAGTGGAATATGTGCCTAACAACATTCACTCCCAGTCCTTTAGACGAGCTGACTGCGAACGCATCAGCACATCGTAAAAAAACGCCCTCCACCATAACCCCCGCCCTCCGCCCACCCGTGCGATGCTAGCAGTTAAATGAATTGCGGAACGTAGCGAGTAACGTTTTCGCGAATACGAAACTTTCTTAGGCGAGACTGAAACGTAAACATGCCTTACCACGACGACGCGCAAAGGAAAATATTTTTATTAGTTCCACTTCGTTTATTATTTACAACCGTACCCTTCCTTCTTGTTACTATTACGAGCAGATCGTAACAGCACAATTACAAATATAACAAACTATTTTAATGTGCAATATAAAAGAACACGAATAGAAGATGTTTATAATTTGTTACAGCGGTAATGTACGGTTCGTAATAACTTTTGCATTACGAATTTTATGTGAGGTTACAGAGGAAAAAGTATGCGTCAGTACATTTTAATTGAATTAAAATAAAAAAGATGACAGTTTCATTTCAATATGCTGAGTGTTTTTAGCGTGCTTCCGTACGACAAAGGGAGGATATGTAATTCAGTTTTTTACTCGTTAAAATGTATAGACAAGTATTTTTTTAATAGTACAATGTTTATATACATATATTAGGGTATATAAAAATAGGGTATTATATACATGTATAAATAGATAATAAAGTAAAGACACAAAGGTGTTTATGTTTAATACATAGGTATACCGGCCCAGAAGCGTTCACTTAAATCTTACTTGTGACACTAAAGGGAGACAAAAATTTACTTCAGAATAGACTGCTTGGAAATCAACTTACATTTATTAAATTTCTAGAAAAGTCAAAGTATGCGAATCTGCAATTAGCTGTAAATTTTTTGCTGCTAAACAGCTGCAAAAGTTTGAACATCTTCAGTAAGCTTTTCTATTCCTTATAACAAAATTGGCAACACAATTAGCCCTGAACTAATTCTCTGCCTATCCATCGTCAGAGAATATGAAGAATTCAATAGTGCGCGAGAGTTATTTAGTGAAATCGCAAAGTGCAGAGTAAAGGAGGCTTTGGCTTTGACCCGAAGGTCGCGCTGCTTGGAAAATATTAATGGCAAAAGTCCAATAGAAAATTCGAACATTTGCCTAGTTTTACCGTCATAGCTGAGGCCAGTCATTGACTGACGCTTCCAGACGTTTCTCGGATCGAGACCAATCAATTCAGATGATTACAAACGAGTATTAAGTACTTAGATGCTACCACGTACAGAATAAGACCAGTAATCCACTATAACACCACAAAAACATTAATCAATAAACCACAAAAATTAACCTCGATCTCCTATTATTTTTAATCTTTCGAAGTACATAATTTTTTTCAATAAAATCATTTTGAGATGGTTGATGTTAGGCCAGTTATTTATAGTTTTTTTTCTTGGAAAAGAAACATTGATAAATGTAAGTAAATATCACGAGGTCTCATTTACGAGTACACTTTATGAATATTGAACACGATTTATGAATAAACAGTATTGGGTATTTCAACTAAAACATAGCCTGATGTAATAAAGGTAAAGGTTAAATATGATTAAAATTTAACATTTTTGAAAGATTCTTCAGTTACCTCACGTATAATTAATATTCTAATACAATACTTAAAGGTAGGATCGATTATCTATATATTAATACGTGAAGCGAAAACTTTGTACCCCTTTTTACGAAAATTGCGTGGACGGAGAAATATGAAATTTCCCACACTCATAGTTTATACAAAGATGCTAATATTTTTAATAATTTTAAAATTATGCATAAAAATACATTAAATCTATTGATTAAATTACACACAATACCATGTATAATTAATTATGTTATTAATATATCAAGTATATTAGTTAGTTAAGTAGTCTACTTTGTGTTATAGTCGAATTTCGATCAATAAGCGACAAGTATCAATAACGGCAAATATGTGCCATCCCCAATATCAACAATCCCCCCATACTCTCCCCAAATAATCATGATAACACGTTATAATTGAAATACTAAAAGATATTTATTATTAATTATTATATTAAAAGTCGAATATGAGACATACACGTTATTAAAGTACATATGCAAAAACTACACTAAAAGCTTTACTCTACTACACTAAAAACTACACTAACTAATTTTAAATACTTATTTTTGTACATATTTTCATAACATTCGTTCGTGGTCTCATCCATATGAGAAATAACCAATAGTAACGAAACTATGGGGCACATTTCGATCATAGACCATCGGTCATATTTTCTTTTTATTATTGAAACTTACACGTCTTAAAACAACTGTACAGTTTTACTTCGTAGTTAACCTAGTAAACTGTGGTGTGATTGGTTAAATATTCCAGCAATGTGCTAGCGCAAGTATCGTGTCGGTGGGTCGCTCTCGAGGGGTACCCAACAAATATTGCTTTGAAATTTAAGCAGGGTTGGATTGCTGAGGCATTCTTGATGATTCAGTAAGTTTCATTCTGATACTCCAAAGAGTAAAATTAATATTTAAAATCATTTAGAGCTTACCTAGGATTAAATTGTAAAATTCAATGCTAGCGAATACAACATCTCGAAAACCTTGAATCGGGATTAAAATTATAAGTTTATAAAACAAAAAATACTACATCTATGACAATTAATAAAAAAAATCATGTCATAACAACATTTTCCAGGCTGCACAAAAATTTTGACTGTCCTATGATTTAATGCTGATATGAAGTTAATAAAAAAGGATCAATTTTAATATATTTACGGACGTTTTGACATTATGTTTTAAAACAGAGATCTCATAAATAATCGAATGTTACAATTTATCTCCATGTCCCGGATTGACTGGGAGACCTATCCAAAGGATTATAAAGGGCCTACTTATGCCAAAAGTAAGAGTTTAATTGCCGCATATCATAATACATACACATACGATTCTTAAGGT